ATACCAACTAATTATCAGTTTAAAATACGGTAAAGTTACCATATTTGGAAAATGAGTGGTTGGGTTGATGAAGGTATGTTTGAGTATTTTGGAACCAATTAAGTGTACCCCTAACATATCTTAAAGGTGGGGTAGGTAATTGTGGAGAAACCAGCTCGAGTGCGCTAGAATTTGAAAATACACAACCGGAAAAAATCTGCCACTTCCTTACAGAGCCCCTCCTCCAACACACGAACGCGCACATGACCAATGAGGGCACGAGATAAGTTTGTGCACAGATGGAAGGCTGACAGGCAGGTAGGCCATCCAGTTATTTTAGCCGGGCCGGCTAAAATGATTGGTCGTGCTTTTTACAGTACTACAGCTTCCACAGATGACATTTTTTTATGGATTTTTTGTCAAAGCACTTCAGATATTCATTGCTATCCGGATGTTAAGAGCATTCCATGGAATATAACAAAAAGTGTATCTCGAGCCGGTTTCTCAAACTTACCTACCCCACCTTTAAATCTGACAGATGTTTCTCTGTGACCTAAGATTTTCATCGTCATAACTACACTATAGCTATGTACGTAAAAAAGTTCTGCACTTTTAGTGTACAGTTTTGCTGTTGTGCTGCTGTGTTTATTGTGTTTATTGTATTTTGTTACTCTGGCACAACAATTTCCTTCGGGATAAATAAAGTCTTATCTTATCTTATCTTATCTCATGACTAATACAAAGCCTTTAGCCTTGAACCTTGAATTAAACCACTCAGTCTAATTTATAAATGCTCCCTTGTCAGTTGCAACTCTGACTTATAAGAGGTAAATATTGCTTTGACAATGTTGCCCCCTGGTGGCGTCCAATCACATATTGGAATAGTTCCAGAGGAGTTTTTAGTTTGTTAAAAGATCTTACTAAATACAAAGTGTGTGAACCATAGTTTATATTTGTGTGTGTGTGTGTGTGTTCATGCAGGACACAGCGGGTCAGGAGCGTTACCGTACGATCACCACAGCGTACTACAGAGGAGCGATGGGCTTCCTGCTCATGTACGACATCACAAACCAGGACTCCTTCAACGCTGTGCAGGACTGGTGAGTCAGATATTCTTTTTAATATTTATTTGGGCCTAGTTTAGCATTTTTTGGAGCATTTAAAAGTAGGAGATATGATCCCAACAACTGAAAAGCATCTGACATTTTTAAACAGGTCAACTAAGAACGTTAATAATGACTCCAGAAAAAAGTTTGGTGTCTTTTTTTGTTGTCCCATTTGTTAATTAGTGAAATGTAATGTAGAGTTCTGAGCTTAGTTCAAAACGTTGACATTCAAATTCTAGATCGACATTTTAATTTTCTTTTGGGTGAAGATGCCATAAAATATTGTATTCAAAATAAGATGGCACGCACCAACACACTTAGAGAGACGTTGCAAATGTTGACGTCTTTTTAGCTGATAGTGGCCTTACAGACACTTTAAATATATATAAATTAGTGCTGATTTGTAGTGAGTATTTTATTTCTGTTTTGCATGATTTGGGATGTATTGGATTCTAAATTGCAATGTACTGCTTTAAATCATTTAGACTGAGACTTGACATGTGTCCTACAGGGCGACGCAGATCAAGACGTACTCGTGGGACAACGCTCAGGTGATTCTGGTCGGAAACAAGTGCGACCTGGAGGACGACAGGATCGTCCCAACAGAGGACAGCCAGAGACTGGCAGAGGAACTAGGTACGAACTCTTTCACTCACAAAGTTTTTGTCTTTTTGTTAAACTTATACCTGCTAGCTTCTGCCTTTACGACACGATATGATATACTTTATTGTCCCCGTAAGGAAACTTGTTCTGGACTCTGTCATGCAGTTCTGCATACATGTACATATACAAGCATAATAAACATTAAAATACATACACATATCATCACTCATGCACCGTTTGCACAAACACAATACACAGACGCATATTGACAATGGCGACCTATTGCACAACCCTCATGGCCAACATTTAAAAGTATATTACATCATCATCAGCTTTATTGAAGAGACTCAACGTCCATTTTTTTTAAAGACATCAAATATAAATTAAAAAAGGCAGTTATACCAATGTTTCCATAGAGGTGACTGGGACAGCACTGAGACAAGGATTTGACAGCAGCATAATGACAGAGTTATGAGAAACATTCAATCGACAGATACATTTGTACATCAGATTTCTCAAGAGAGCATGGAACGTGTTGACTCGTGCATTACAAAACATTTCACTTGCACTGCACCACCTTGGTTTTCTAAGCAGTTAACGCAAACAATCATTATAAGCAACCTGGAGCTTCTGGAGGCTCGCCTTCTTAAACTTGACCCACAAGGGGGCAGTATAAAGAGGACATTACAAATGCCCATATACATTACATTACATGTGAGTGTTAAGAAGCTTAATGGACATCAGCCTGATCTTGGGAACCCTAAATCTTCTACCAGTAGGAGCTGGAATTCTGGGTGGAATATGTGGGTGGGATCAGATATCATTTGTTGTGCCTGTCTAATAATGAACTGCTCATATATGTTTTGGAGAGATGGATGTTTTTTGACCCCCATCATTTTCATAGCAGTCTGTACCAGGCGAGCGATCTGTGACTTTGACTTTATCGTATTTATGCATGTACTTTAATCATGCATACATCTGCTTCCTGCCCCATTAGGTTTCCAGTTTTTCGAGGCCAGCGCGAAGGACAACATCAACGTGAAGCAGGTGTTCGAGCGCCTGGTGGACGTCATCTGTGAGAAGATGAACGAGAGCATGGAGGGAGACATCAACCTGGTGACCAACCACAGGAACCAGGCCCTTAAAGACTCGCCTTCAGAGAGCCACGGGGGCTGCGCTTGTTAAGGCATCTTCCCCCTATCAGCTCCTCCAACACACACACACACACACATAACATACAGTACATTAAGACCTACCTTTTCTGTGCCTCAAACATGTGAAGTGCCGCACCTCTTCCTCTCTCTTTGTCTACACAGCGCAGCAAGAAACCAAAGGATATCTATCTGAGATAATCTTCAACAAGAAGTCCCGTCTTTCAGTCTTTTACCTTAAAGAGGCCCGCTTTCTGCCTCTGTTTTCCAACCATCAGCGCAGTGGTGAGCTGATAGTCATTATAGCCTTCACTGTCCACCCCCTAAAACAACTGCCTTGACCACCGCTGTACATTAGTGGCTTTTTTTTTTTGATTCAAATATCAGTCCAGCTAGTGATGCCAAACAGCGTATGGTTGAAGCTACTTAGGGCATTCATTGTTTAGTTAGAGATTCATCCAGCGTGTGCATGTGCTTAGCCTTCAGTTGTGTACAGCCATCTTAAAATGTTGAATGTCTCAAACAGGTCAATAAGGCTTAAAGGTTAAATATTTTTGGAGCAGCTTGTTAGCAAATCCTAGCATAAAGACTGAAAATGGCTAGCAAGGCTTTGTCCACACTGGCAGTACAAAAGCAATCTGAGATAATCTTCATCAGCCTTAAAGGGACCCACTTTCTGCCTCTTTTTCCAAACCATTAGCTCTCTGGTGAGCTGATAGTCACTGAAGCCTTCACTGTCCACCCCAAATACCAACCACTTTGACCAGCGCTGATACGTTAGCATTTTAAATGTACTGTTGTTAAAGGCTTCTTGTTTTGTCAAATATCCAACACAGTCTCACGGCATTTTGTGTTATAGTCACGAAATTAATCTATTGATTCGTGTTCACCAACATGATTTTCGCATTTTTTTCGTGTCACACAGAACGATTTGAAAAGCAATGTAAATGATAACAAATTTGAAGGAAAAAAAAGAGATCTGTAAAAATACAGATTTCAGTATTCTGACACAGAACGATTTTAGAAACAATGTATTTCTATTGGTAGTATGTTTTGTGCCTGCACCAAATAATAACAAATTAGAAGGAAATTGTCTTTTTTTAAATACAGATTTCAGTATTCTGAGGCAAAAAAAACTCCGACATTATACAATTTAAAATAATAGGGTTGGGCTTAGGGTAAGATATTGAGTAAGACAATTTAGTTTTGTAAAGCCACTTGAAATGGTGAATGTCTCAAACATGGGCATATTGAACTCTGTAAAGCTGAAAGGAACACTTTGACGATTTGGAAAATATGCCATTTGCTATCTTGTCGAGAGTTAATGTGAAGAACAATTCCACACTAAAGTCTGTAGGCCTATGCTAAAATGGAAGCTACAACCATTGCGGCTGGTTAGCCTAGCCTAGCATAAAGACTGGAAGCAGCTAGCCAGGCTTTCTCATAGGACAACAACAACAATTTAAGTTACAAATTAAATCTTTTAAATTATAAGGATTAGCTGCTAGGTGTACCAACTGATAGAGCAAGGCTGACCATTTTTTTGGGTACCTTTGGTTGGAGCCAGGCAAGCTGTTTCGTTTTTATCAGTATGTATGCTAGGCTAAGCTAACAAGCTGCTGGCTCTAGCTGCACATACATGTGCAAGTGTGAGAGTGGTATACATTTTTTAAATAAACCAGATTCTGTCGGATTGTTATGTTGAGTACATAACAAAAAAACATTTATTTATAATAGAGACATCTATGGCTATGCTGTAGAACAATTGTTACAGCATAGCCAAATGAAAAACAGCTGAAAACAGTCATGTTTGCCACCATTCAGTGTTGTTTCTGGGGCCTCTCCTACCCTATAGGATGTCTCTGTTCTGATAAACTTGTTTCAGAATCACTTATTGATAAGTTAAAGCATCAAGCCAACACAACGTCCTTATCATCTTCACCTTGTCCTGAATCTTGAGCATGTTAGAAGAAATTAAATCTTTCTCTTGTGCCAATTAGAAGCCGTGGGTCGATGTTAATCCAAAAGTTTATCTCTGCTCTCCGTGTGCTTGTGTGAGGAAGTCTTTTATCACAGGCGACACTTGTACTTGCATGACCTTTGTACATTGTATGTTGTCTTTGCTCACCACATTGTGCTGATTTTCTCACACACATGCTTTCACACACACACACACACACACACACACACACACACTCCGCTCCTCCTATCTGTAGCACGGCAAAACAGTCGGTATGGCAAACCTACTACGGGGCTTAATAACTGAGTATTGACAAAGTGGTGTATTATCTTTTTTGTTCATCTTGTTATTGACTGGAAATGAGGCACAGAGTGTTTGTCTTGTCTCAAAGGGAAGCACACTGATCTCAGTTAAAGGGTTTTTGTGGGCCTCAAATGTTCTGTATGCACATGTGAGGCCCACAGCTGGTAAGAGAACATGCATCACTTAAAAACACCATTAACTGTAAAATCTAACATATCATTGAAGGGAATGAGGTTAGCTTTTATCTTGATGTCATGTAAACTGTGCATGATTAGGTTTTTGTATTTCTTTACTTGTTGACGTTTCAGTATTGACAATCATCTCCCGTCGCAGAAAACCTGAACAATAGTTTTGATTTTGATTGCACAACAAATGGTAATGGCAACGTATTAGGACGTACGTTGTACTCTTATTTTCTGTTAAAAGGAATAATTCACACACAAAATGATTATTTGTATATCAATGAATCCCCCTGTGTTACCTTCTTGAATAAACCTTTATGTGTCTTGCATGCCTCGACACATTACAAATAATCAAATAGCAAAGATTCTTCTTGATTAATGAAAGTCAATTGAGGCTGTACGCCAAAACTACATCAAATCATCAATTTAATAACTTGTGAGTTGTGTGAGTGTTTGTTAAGAGATATTTAGACTCCATTTACTTCCGTTCATTAAGACAGTTTTCTCTATTTAGATTCTCCATTCACTGTGGATGCAGGCATTACAAATAGAGTATTCTTCAACAATACAAAGTAACACGTGGTGAGTATTTGTTATACAAACAATATATATATTTTAAGGACAAGGTATTCCTTTTAATTGTCATGTAAGGTGCCATTTGACCATGTGTGTCCAGTGTGTTGCTGAACAGTTTTACAGACAGCTGATATTATCATCTCATCTGCACCACGTTCACCTTTTAATGCTGAGTGTGCAATACATTAACACTACATCTGTGCTCATGTGCAATGTGTTTAAATGCATAAGAAAGCATATCATATCTTTGATGGCTCCACTAACGGTGACTGCTGCTTGAATACTGAATGTGCTAAACTTTCCTCTGATACTGAACTTCTAACCACTCGATATCTGCCATGTTAAAAAACTACTGACGCTTTTGTACAAATAGTCTGAGGTGTAATCTTTCTCTCTCCTGTTATTATGTATGTGTTGCATCCCTGATTGGCGGCTTTCTAAAAGAGGGGATATCTCATCATTGTATCCCTTTATTTTAAACTCTGAATGTGTTTGCTGGATTGTGCCAGAAATCTTCTAAACAAGAATAAATTGTTGAAATGTGTATAAGAAATAAAGAATATATTCATTACAAAACGTCGAGCGTCTTTGCAGATAATTATATTTAGTTTCAAATCAGTTACACAGTGTACAACATGACGGCAGCATCTAAGTGTACTTTACAACCTCCTAACCCCAGCATCAGGTCAAGGCTTTTTTACACGTGTTATCTGCGGAACCAGAGAAACCACAGCCATTGTCCTCAACAACTAAACACATTTCCTCATCTCCTTCCTCCTGCCACCACAGTCTTTAAGACATAACTACCTTTCCTTCCTCTTTATTCCTTTCAAACTAGAGTGAAATGTGCACTAAACTGGCTTAAAAAGATGTGTACTAGAATGTAAACAAGTCCAAATATGTCACAAGCTGTAGCTACATGTCAATACACTTGATCAGGCTCTCTTCCCCACTTTCATATGATGTAAAAAAGCGCTGAATTGCATTTAAACCGACGGGGATGGGCCGCTACGCCCCCCCTATCACGAGGTGAAGAAACACAGGAGGGTCTGCAGCGCTGATAATGCTGGTCAAACGAAGAAAACATGTGGGTGCAGAGAGTAGATAAGAAACCGTTTGGGTTCTCTCCAGTGTGAGGGCTCTACGGTTTCTGTTGTTGCAGGAGATGCAGGGATTAGGTTGGCTCGAGGCCAGACAGAAGTTCAGATCCACATCCTCACATCACAGCTTCAACCAGGAGACAGGTGCACACAAACATTAATTTACATTTACCTCCATTCATCAATCCATTTACCCATCTATCCATTTCCCATATAATTGTCTATCCATCCATACTTCTATCTATCCATTAATCTATCTATCTATCTTCCATCCATCCATCCATACTTCTGTCCATCCATTTATCCATTGATCATCCATCTATATGTACATTTTTCCATTTTTCCATTGATCCATCAATTATCCATCCATCCAGTTATCCATTTATAAATCCATCCATCCTTGTATTCATTAATCAATGTGTCCTGCGATCTATCTATCTATCTATCTATCTATCTATCTAAATCTATCCATGTCCATCACCGTCCGTCCGTCCGTCCATTTATCCTCCATCTATCTTTCCATCCATATATCAATTTAGTCATAGATCCTCATCCATCATCGAACCATTTATCCTCCATCTATACATTTTTCCATCTATCCCACCCATACAGGTATCCATCAAATCTTTTTTCAATTTTTGTATCCATCCATATATCCATTTATCCATCCATCCATTGATTAATCTCTCCATCCTTTTATCCATCAATTTATCCATTTATCAATCCATCCATCCATCCATCCATCCATTGATCAATCTCTCCATCCTTTTATCCATCCATCTATTATCCATCAATTTATCCATTTATCAATCTCTTCATCCATCCATCCAGCTCTCTCCAGTTTGCGCTTTTACGCACGCCCTCGCCCACTTCCTCTCTCTCCACAGCAACAACAACAACCACAACTCGTCAACATCAATGAGGGCCTGATTCCCGCACATCAACAGGAGAGTAAAACGTTTTGTAAGTGTTCCCTCGCTCCACCCTTTTCTTCACTGACTTTTAGAGAACGTAAACATCTCAGTACTACACACCTTATCTCTCTCAAACAGGCGCGTAACTGTGCTGCGCTATCCATGCTATCTAGACAAAAAAACAAGCCTCCCCCCTGAGAGAGCTGCAGGACACGAGTAAGAAGCAGGTTGTTTTCTAGTTATGCAAGTGGAGGAAAACAGAAGGTCTTTCTGTTGTCAGAGAAGACAAAAGGATGATATGCGATCACCTGAGCCGGTTGCTGGCTCTTCACATGATCTTCTGCGCCATGGGAAAAGCTTCCATCGACCAGGGTGCACGAAATCACGGAAAAAAAGGTAAGAGAACAACTTTTTCTGCATTGTCGTAACAATTAAACAGCAACTGTTAAAGTAGAATAATTGGGAATATTGTGTAGAATAAAAACAACATAACATCTCACTCTTTAAAAATGTGTTAGTACAATAAGAAATGAGTTTATCGACAAGTTGTGACTTAAGTTTTGCATTGCCATATATGACAATAAAGCATTGAAATCTTGAAAGTAGGGTTCAAATGAAAGGGATTTGTTTTGCTGTTCTGGTGCAAAACATAAACCTTCTAATATGTAAAGAATAGGCCTGCTATAAAAATATCTACAACATATCTTAAGTCAAATTCAAACGTTTACAGACACATGTACTGTAAAGGTGGATTTTATTTCTATGATTACAATGAGATGTAAACACACTTTTGGATTCTCTCCCGCTCATCTGTTGCCTCTCACCTCCTCAGTGTCTATACTTCTGAAAGAGGAGCCAGAAAACCCAAAGTGCTTCGCTCAGAGCAGGAAGGACTTCACGTGTTTCTGGGAGGAAGACGAGGAGCTGTCCGGCTCTCTGGATCAGTACTCCTTCACATACACCTACCAGTAAGTCACAATCATATCAAACCATGTGCTGTCCAATATGGTCATCACACTGTAGGTCCAAGCTGGTGTTTCTACTTTATTTGTTATGCAAACCAATTGGTTACACAATACATAATATATGGGTTATTAAATTAGGGATTGAAAATGTAATTTAAGGATTAAAAACAGACTCATTTGAGCATGCTTGACCATTTCTAAAAGGTCAATATCTCAGTCTAGATACATACAAACTTTAACCTCATTTGGCATAATGATTTTTCCTATTTTTAAGATGTCTTTTTTACTTTCTTTTTATTTGTATTATTTTGCAGCAAATAGGTTACCAATTAAACATATTCTTTTGAATAAAAGGTCACTTGGTCAATCTAGATACATAAAAACAACAACACACTTCAGCGTAGTGCTAGTGGTTAATAAACAAGGGTTATTGAATAATGAATTATAGGATTGAAAACAGTTTTTAAAGATTTTTTTAGGAGGTTGATATTTAATAAAGGGTTACTTTGTCATTCTAGACAGGGGCGCACCTTGCGAACAGGCAACTGCTTGGGGCCCCGGACCAGAAGGGGGCCCCAAAAGAAGGTAGATTAAGAAGGTCCACAGCAACGACAACATGAAACACCCTTTAATTTACTGCAACGACATGTCAGGTAACCCCCTCAAGGGGTCCCCATGCATAGCGCGCCGTCAAAAGCTCATCATTTCAGTTGCGCTGCTCCGCTCCGGGGGGGGGGGGTGGTCTGTCGGCTGTGCGTGGTGATGAAAAGCTGGTTCGAGGGGCCCCCAGTGAATGTTTGCCCAGGGCCCCCACAGACTCTAGAATCGCCACTGATTCTAGAGACATAAAACTTTAGCCAATTCAGAAAAGTGCTTCTTCCAAATGCTTAGTGGTCATATGCAAGAAAAAACTGCTCTCTCTGAACCCAGGTTTTGTTCTGTCTCCCTCTCAGGAATGAAAACAGCAGCAGGTGCCCACTGAAGATGCTCCCTGCAGCGGGGGGGAAGAGGCTGTTCTTCTGCCATCTGAACCACACCCAGATGTTCGTCCAAACGGACATCGAGGTTCATCGAGAGGGAAGACTGATCCACAATCGCAGCCTCCTCATCGAGCTTGTCTGTAAGTTTGTTTTACTGCAATCTAAGCCGTCAAATCTAGGTTTGCATAAGAATAATAATCAACATTCATTTTAATTTCCTCGAAAAATATCCCTAACAAGCCCATTTGTAACCCTTTTGGAGCTCTGGTAAGTAAGAGTGGAGAAACCAGCAAGGGTAATTGTTGGGAAAATACTGAATGTACTCTTCCAATATCAGAGTCCACATGATAACAAAGGTATCCCAACTGTAGCTGTGTACATGACAGGATGTATGATTACCTAGAAGAGCATCAGGACTGTTTGAGGCATATGATAGCTATGTGATTAACATGATGATTCAGCCTCTATGGAGAGAGACATATGACAAGCATGATCATTTCTGACGTGGAGCTAATCTGAAGTAAACATTGAATACTGCTTTCTATTCCTCCATCTTGTGACTGTGTAACTCCCTCTCTTGGATATCAGCATGTGAAGGACACTGTTCAGGAACTAGTTGATGCTCTGTATGTGATGACTACTTCCATTCTGGAGAGGATCAGAAATACATGGATCCTGAGATTGAAGCTCAAGCCGGGGACGAGTGATATTTTTCTATCAGTAATTTAGCCTTTGTTTTAAAAATCCAATTATATTTTTCCATGCAAGTAGCTAGCACTAGCTCCAAACGTTGCTAGATGTTCGGCTAGTTAAGCTGGCACGAAAGTCACCAAGTTGTCAAAACTGAGAGCTCGTCCCTTTAGGCCTTCCTCCATAGTCACTAGTCGCAGTGTTTCAGACTTTTGGTGAAGAATAATCTTTCCTCCACCCCTCTTCATCTCCTCCCTAACCATCTACCTCCTCTCTTCAGTTATTCTGGATCCTCCGGCTAACGTGACGGTGAGCAGGACGGCTCAGCCACTCCAGCTCAACCTCAGCTGGGTTCCTCCTGCTCTAAAGTACATGGACGACAGCATGATTTATGAAGTCATCTACACTACAGCGGGCAGCAACATGGGGCAGGTAGGATCACTATCTTATACCTCCATATGACCCTATACTTATCAACCCTAAAAGTGAAGTTCCTCAACAACTAAACTGCATTTACATGTTGGAGAAAACGTATTTTCTTATGGATTACGCTCGTAGTTTTAAACACATTGTGAAATAATACAACAGAACATTATTTGTGGCTAAAATAACTTGATGGGGTTAAGACAGTTAAAGATCATGGTTTGGCTTAAACTAGGTATCTTTTTTATACGCTAGCTTAAGCTACATAGGTAGGTTCAAATATATCAACCTTTGACTTTTTGTTTCACACGAGACACGAATATTGGCCTCTTTAGTAAAATGTTCTTTTCCACGGTCTTTGATCAGAAATCTATTTGGATACCTCTAAAACAGGGGTGTCAAACTCAAGGCCCGGGGGCCAAATCTGGCCCGCGACTTCATTTCATGTGGCCCGCAAGAGCTTGCAAAGAATATAATATGTTTATTATACGGTTACATGCCACTTTACAGAAGCAGGTTGCCCATAAACTACATGTCCCACAATGCATCTCGTTTTGTGACATGCGCACTGAAGAGACTTGCAATTATTTACCCTAGACTTCTGCTTTTCAGACGTAGTTAATTACTAAGTTATTATCCTATCCGACAATAATCCAATTCAGAGGCAATAATGTAATATAAATACATTATATATATATTATATATTTATATATGTATATTTATATAGTTACAACCGGCCCTTTGAGTGCAACCATAATGTTAATGTGGCCCGTGATGAAATTGAGTTTGACACCCCTGCTCTAAAACAAACCTTACCCCAGTAAAAAGGGGACCAGTCTACATGGATATATAAAGGTTGAATACAACTTTTAGCAGCAGGTTTTATTGTCTGCTAGGTGCACATAAAGACCTGTATTGATGAATTGAGGAATGTTCTCCAGGTTGAGGTGGTTGCAGCCAGCTCAGAGTTGATCCTGAGAAGCCTGCAGCCGGGCCGAATGTACAAGATAAGAGTCAGAGTGAAGCTCGACGGGATTAGCTACAACGGCTACTGGAGCGCCTGGAGCGACCCGGTGTTCATGGAAACAGTGCCGGCAGGTGAGCAATAAAGAAATGTGTCAGATACTCATGGAGGTATTTTGGCTGTACATAGACATTTCCCTTACGCATTGGTTTTATTGTTCTTGCTTAGTTTGTTCCCAAAGCAATGACTGTTGTTCCTCCTCCAGAACTCGACCTCCTCATCATGTCGCTGACTATCATCATCTCCTTCATCCTCATTGTGCTGTCTCTCACCATGCTCCTGTCCCATCGAAGGTCAGATAACCAGCAACACAAGGCTTATATACAAGCTACAGAGAAATTGGTTGCATCCTAAAGTAACGATTATCTCAAAAAGACATGTAGAATAATAGTGTTTTGCTTATGTGCTCGTTTCAGGTTTGTCGTCAAGAAGGTTTGGCCGACTATTCCAACTCCTGACAGCAAGTTCAAAGGCCTTTTCAGTGTTTATGGAGGGGACTTTCAGGTAAGAACAATACAAGTTTACACCCATGGTAGCAGCTCTGTGAGGCTGCACTTCCATTAAGGCTGCTGTATGCTAAATGCTACCGTCAGCATGCTTACAATTCAAATGCTAGCAAGTTAAGTTGGGAAAATGTTGTTCGCAAACCTTGTTTAGTAATAAATTAAAGAACCAGAAACATTAGAAAGTACTGATTGCCATGCCAGTCCATCCAACGGTCGTCGAGACATTTCCCTCAATACCACAATGCCAACCTGTTACCAGAGAAAGTCTAGAAAAGGGAGATAGCGAGAGTCAGTTTTCTGTATCTGTGTCACGTGGTTTTGCCACTGCGCCGCCCCTTTAGGAGACTAGTGTCCATTCTCTATTCAGTCAATCTTAGATGCAAATGTGAACCAAGATTATGACGGATTCTTGCGCCCAATGGTCCCCAAAGTTTATATTGGACCCATTTTCCAGAAGACACATACCTTCCAACATTCTTGCATTAGAATGTACTTTTCTAGAATGATATATAAGGAAAGAATTGACCTTATTCAAGATCTATCTCTGTCACAGCAACACAGTCGCAAGAGAAACTGTTGGTTTGTTGACGTTATGAATCTAACCAAACTGTGTCCTAAAAACTGTTACATTTCAAAAAATGCCCTACAGTAGCTAACTTATTTTTCAAATGAATGTCAGCTTTATAAATGTATTTTATAAGCAAAAGACAATATAAATACTTTAGACCACACCACTTAGGAGACCATTTCCATACCATACCTTTTCATACCATTGCCACAGCTTGCATTGCGTCATGTTTTGTTGTAGCATCTTGGGAATATTTGGGATAGTACTTTCTTCTTGTCTGAAAACTGCCAGACCTTTCTCTCTGAGTTTTCCTAATCACTTCATTGTTGTTTTTGTACAGGAGTGGTTAGGGCAGACCAACAGAGGCATAAGGTTGACTCCAGCTTTCTTCTACTCAGAGGAATGCCCTTCTCCTCTGGAAGTCCTGTCTGAACTCAGCCCACGACCATCACTGCCCTTCCCGCCTCTGCCACCCAAAGCCTTCAGAGCTTTGCCCTCAGTCAGAAAAGAAGACGACGACGTAAAGACGGAGCCGGACGAAAGACAGTTGTTAGACAGAGGTGATCCAGTTCGGTCAGAGCAAAGGATAGCGACACCACACAACCTCTGGCTGATGGACCGCATAAGGGCGCTCAACCAGAACCAAGTTCCCTGCTCCCAGTCCTACCTACTGGAGTCCCAGGACACCTACGTTACCCTGAGTGCGAAAAACCAAAACATAGACGAACTGGATGACGTTCTGGAGGAGACGTTACCCCTCGAGGTGCTTTTTGCCTCCAGAAAGACGGTGTCGTATGAATCTCACTCCGACCTGGGATCCGTGCCGCAGAGCTCCAATTCGGGTCAACTTTCATCACAGACCAGCTTTGAGTACCCAAACCACGCCTGGATGACAAAAGGCCCGGGGTACACCTACATGGCGGTGGCAGACTCGGGGGTTTCTATGGATTATAGCACCATGAGCAGAGTGGAGGACTTTGGAAAGGTTGTCATTTACGCCAATGATTACAAAAACGAGATCCCGGCTTTTAGAAGACCCTTCCTGCCGAGTCATCACCACATCGACGATGACAGCTGAAAGATGGACGGCCTATACATTAACTGAGTCTTAAAGGTCACCTATTATGCAAAATCCACCTGTTCATGTCTCTTATACATCAACATGTGTCCCCTCTGTGTAAAGAGATTCTGAAAGTTTCAGGAACAAAGATTCTCTCTCTTTTTGTCCTGATCCATTTATATAAAAACCTGTCTGGAAATGAGCTGATCAGATTTTGGCCACTTTATGATGTCATAACGATTTTTTGGCTTGTGTAACCATTAGCCAATCACCAACTAGGAATCTCCTCCTAGAGCACCATTGTGTTCTTTGTAACCAAATATCTCTCAGAGGGGCGTGGGGAGGGGCTCCTTATTTTCATCTAAAGTAACAGACAGAGAATCAGCACTTTTGAAACAGGGCTGAAACAGAGGGGATTATGGGATGCTGCAATGATCTGTTTGGTGTTTGGAGCCAAACACTTCAGAGACCTATAATATATTGATGAAAAAAAGGATAATAGGGGACCTTTAAATCTGACTTGATGAAGGGTTTTTCGATATGCACCCAAAGTTAGAGAGCCTTTCATGGACTGTTATGAAAGGTGTACCAAGAAATTGGGAGCAGACTGATACCGAAGTGGAAGCTAAAAGACTCAGGAGGAAGAGCCCGCCGGATGTTCATACTTCACTCAAACTTTATCCAAAACACAGCTGTGGGGAACACCAAATACTGATATTCAGTAAGTATCCATTCCTGTAGATCAGAGCAGAATCTTCTTGAATTATTAACAGAAAATTCAAGTTGATGGAGTTAACTCCCTGAGTGTTTCCATAGTGGTTTATTCATATTGCAGCTAAGAGTACGTTTTAAGCATTAATGACAGACTGGCTATTAGCTTAAAATACAGAACAGAGAAGAAAGACCGAACAATGCAAGCTAAAAGATGCTTTAAAGAAGGAGGCTGATCATTTTGCATTTATTGTTTTTTGTCAACAAGTGTTGCTTAAATAGCAAAAGCCTAATATAGCTTATTATTCAAGCATATTGTTTTTTGCTAAATGCTAATGTTAGCTTACAGCAGCAGTGTTAACGTGCTTAAGTTTAGCCGGTATAATGTTCACCATGTTTGTTTTTGCCATCATAATAAAGTGTTAACATGCTAACAATTGCTTATAAGCACTACATGCAAAGTGAAGCATGGGAAGTCATGTTTGCAGGTAACCACCATAAAGTAAATGTTAAAATATTTCAATCTGGACGTAAATGTTAGACTGACAGCGTGGTATTGCCATTCTTTTGAACACTAATGACACAGATTAATTACTCAACCGATGCATGTTCCTCTATTACCCTGAACTAGGGAACTGTGGTTTATTTTAAAGGTGGGGTATGTAATTCACTTCAGAAACACTTTTTGTTATATTCCATGGAATGCTCTTAACATCCCGATAGCAATGAATATATTAAATGCTTTGACAATAAATACATACAAAAATGTCATCTGTGGAAGCTGTGGCGCTGTAAAAAGCACGACCAATCATCTGAGCCGGCCCGGCTAAAATAACTGGATGGCCTACCTGCCTGTCAGCCTTCCATCTGTGCACAAACTTATCTCGTGCCCTCATTGGTCATGTGCACACGGTTGTGTACTTTCAAATTCTAGCGCACTCGAGCTGGTTTCTCCAAAATGACATACCCCACATTTAAGTGAGTTTTTAGGTCAATATTTTAAGTCAGTACATGACCAAAGCACCAAATAATTATTAATGCACTGCTGAAAATAGTCCCCGATCATTGTATCATTCACCTGTTGAACGTTGACTGCAAATGACTGTGCCCAGCTGTTTGAGGTAATTTGTTACTCTCATGTATTCAACCATCGTTTTTCAGACACGTCAACTCTTCAAAAATCACCAATGGGGTCACTGCTGATGTATTTAATGTCGTAGAACAAAACGTGATCCGTCTCTTCAATGTGTCTCAACCACAGACCTTATTTCCAGCTATTTGACAAAAATCCTATGGAGAAATTGCATGGCTTTTTTGTAGAAGGAACCGGAAGTGGTAAAATGCTAACTTACTTCCGGGTTTTAAGACGCGTCACTGTGGCACTCTATGGGCTTGAGTTTAACAGACAGGAAATTCTGCATCATGAAAACTAAGAGTAATGTTGGTTCTGATATGTTGACAAAATATAGAATATATTGGTAGCAGTATGTTGTTAAATAGACCCAAAATGAAAATTAAACATCGTTAGATATCGTCTTAGTATTTTGGTTATCAAAGTATGGCAGAGGTGGCTTTTTTCCAGGTTTTAAGGCTGCATTAAAGTAAAGTAACGCAATGTTCTGACCTTAACAGACTTTTCTAGCTGTTCTATCGTTTGCCCACATCTATCATTTCAATGGCATTTCCAAATGGAAAGAAACTGTATGTGTAAATAATATTAAAATGTTTATTTTTCTGGATAAAATGAAGTCACTACTGTACTTAATATTTGTTCTCATGTGACTGTAGATGTGTCTTTCTTGTTGAGTTGAAGTTGTGTTTAGGTCAATGCTGCCATCTAAAGAGCAGAGCATGTACAGTTTCTGTTTCTATGCAAAACATATCAGGCTTGTTTGCTTTTTTGGCTTTGGAAAAATGTATTGTAAGTGGAATAAATGCTTCTATAAAAGAATATAAAAACATATTAAATCATTGCTGACTCCTTCCTTCTTTTGAAAACAGAAGTCAGACGGTCGTTTGACACAAAAAGGAAAGAAAACCCACAGAAAACAAGAAGTGAATAACAAGAATACTTTATTTATTTTGGTAGGAATTAAGTTTCATGACAGTTTCTCCATTTTAGAATGAAAAAAAAACATAAATAGAGTACAAATATGTATATAAACATAACAAGTGTAAGTCATTCAGTGCACGAAATAAAATATAATAATGATGTTATGGTAACTAAGGCTTTGTTCTATACATCTCATGTTCACTGCAACATGTAAGGCCTGAGGAGCTAAAATAATGAACACTTTCACAGAAAAAACATCGCTGAGTGAAACGAACCAACTTTCAACATCTCCCACAATGCAACAGTCTTTGATACAAATATTTTTATGCCATTTTAAACTCCATTGAACCATCAGGGGAGATTGACAGCTGCCACTCTTTAGGGGCTGCAGCCGGTCTGTCCTCTCTCTCTTTGGTACAGGCGTCCTCTGTGATGCCGGTGGCAGAAAGGTAAACTTTCCACAGCTCCTTCAGTCCGGCTGCTGCAGCCTCGTAGCTCCGGTCCCGATCCAGAGTACAGCGCATCTGGAAATACCGATCAAGAACGTCCAGGATGGGATCCGTGGCGGAGGATTCCCCGCCGGCGTGCTCAGAGTCCACGTCCGACCTGTTATGGCAATTATGGTATGAAAGCTTAATGCAGTGTAATCCTAATGAAATGTAACTGTTAACAAAGTGGTATCCTGGGAATGGCATTTACATGTGTGTGTGATTGAAGGCCGGGGGGAAAGGAAGACATTTGCTCCAGGGGGGGTATCTGTTATCTGTTCTTTGTAGGGTGTGAGTTTTCATTGGTCCCTCTTCTTTAGAGAAGACCGGGAAATGATGGATACACGGATCGTGTTCAAATCAATCAATAGGCACGCAATGACTCTAAATAATAATGATCACGCCACCAAACACACATTCAAACTAAAGGAACCAGCCTGTTTGGGAAATGTGAGAAGTAGAAAGTACAGGTACTTGTGTTCAACATGTAAGAAGTAGAAAGTACAGGTATTTGTGTTCAACATGTAAGAAGTAGAAAGTACAGGTATTTGTGTTCAACATGTAAGAAGTAGAAAGTACAGGTATTTGTGTTCAACATGTAAGAAGTAGAAAGTACAGGTATTTGTGTTCAACATGTAAGAAGTAGAAAGTACAGGTATTTGTGTTCAACATGTAAGAAGTAGAAAGTACAGGTATTTGTGTTCAACATGTAAGAAGTAGAAAGTACAGGTATTTGGGTTCAAAATGTAAGAAGTAGAAAGTACAGGTATTTGTGTTCAACATGTAAGAAGTAGAAAGTACAGGTATTTGTGTTAAAATGTAAGAAGTAGAAAGTACAGGTATTTGTGTTCAAAATGTAAGAAGTAGAAAGTACAGGTATTTGTGTTCAAAGTGTAAGAAGTAGAAAGTACAGGTATTTGTGTTCAAAATGTAAGAAGTAGAAAGTACAGGTATTTGGGTTCAAAATGTAAGAAGTAGAAAGTACAGGTATTTGTGTTCAACATGTAAGAAGTAGAAAGTACAGGTATTTGTGTTCAACATGTAAGAAGTAGAAAGTACAGGTATTTGTGTTCAACATGTAAGAAGTAGAAAGTACAGGTATTTGTGTTCAAAATGCAAGAAGTCAAAGTAAAAAGTCGTCAGAAAAATAAGTCGTGGAGTAAAGTACTGATACCAGAAAAATGTATAAGTACAGTAACAAAGTATTTGTACTCCACTACTTCCCACATAAAGTAATAAAAGAAAAGATCTTAAAAGACTTTATATCGATATTGTGATTCTTTGCATATTTGCCTACTGCTGCGTTCACACCGGACGCGATGCGATGTTTGGGTGCGGCGCGATTACATGTAAAGTCAATGCAGAGATGCGGACAGACGCGAATTCGCTCCGACGGCGAGCATGAAGCGGTTGATGCGAATGTCGCGGCGCGATTGAGGCGATTGGAGGGGGCCGCGACAAACGCTCGAGTTCAATTTTTTCAACTCGTCAAATTCCCGTGACGCTATCTCGCGGTAGCCAATCAGCGGTGAGGATCTTAGCCTGCCATCACTGACGTAGAACCACAAAGCCAAAACATCAGCCGTTAGCTGTTAGCACTCAGAGCTCACAGCTCCTCATATCTGTTCAGAAACTAGACAAAAGTTAAACAAGTACACACCACAGACTGTCTGTGTCATGGCGAATACAGTCGCTGCTTTATTTATGTCTGTAGGCCGTTGTTATGAGTGTGGACGGTCGGAGCATACAACGTTAGCTTAGCCTGGTCGATCCGATCTTCATTCAGAAAACACGCATTTTAAAAGGTTTTTCGCCTGCCGTCTGTCTTCAGACTTGTCAAAGCATTAATTCATGGTTGTTACTAACCGGTATCAGTATGTTGTTACTTCGGCATCATTTAGAAACGTGTATTATAATTTAATCACGGTAAAATATGTTCATTTTGTTGTAGTTGTAGCCCCCGAGCCAGCGCGTCTTGTTTGAATGATGCGAGTAAACACAGCTGACAGCCGCGGTGAAACTCGAGCGTTTAGAGCGAAGCGAATATTCGCATCGCGTCCGGTGTGAACGCAGCATAACTCATAATTTTCTCTAGACAGCAGCTGATTTCTGTTGTGTCAAATTATCATATAATCATTTAAAACATATAGTCTGATTGCCTTTTACACTGTTCAATTGTATGTTTAGTCTTGTATGTGTTTAACAGAGACATATGTTAAGGAGGGCAAAGGAAGTGTAAAAGGGGGATATGCAAAGGGTTAAGGACGAGGGGGTTTTATGGTGTAATGGTGGGGATGTTTAGATGATGCCTAAGGGACTTTAAGGGTGAGACCAGTTGGCTTTTCTCTCTACTATATAGTGAGACTGTAAGCTGTGTTCGGGGTGCAGAACTTCTCTATCCTCTGAGGAGGAAGTAGCTCTGCTCCTACAGTTGGGATCGATTTCGACAGACCTGAAAGAAGCGATGAGGCGGCAGGGGGCGGAGGAGGGGGAGCGCTGTTTCAGGATCTGTGTGAGGAAGGAGGAAGTGTCGCAGAGCAGCGCTGACAGATGAGCAGCGCAGGTCTGATCCTCACTGTGGTTTCCCCCCAGGAAGCCCTCCAGTCTGTCCACGATGATGAGAGAGGGGGGGGGTGGGAGACGTGTTCTGGGACTCGTGGAGGCCGGCCACCTGCTGCAGCAGATCCCCCAACGTCCTCGGATAGGAAAACTTGATTTTCTGTTCAAATAAAAACAGACAGAAAAGCTGAATGAATGATGTAGCTGCTCAGGAATGTGATTGACAGGAAAATGGTGGAATAATTTGACGTAGCTTATTTTTTACACTTTTATAGTTATGTATTATTCCATAAAAACAGAGAAGAAAACAGAAAGAAACAATATTATTAGAAATATTCGCAGATTATATTAGTTACAGATTTGTTGGATTAAAAACAAATCTATGAACTATTATCGATTTTAAAAAGATTTAGGGTTAAGCGATATGGGCCAAATCTTCTATCAAGATATTGATCAATTGTATACATCGATAACGATTCAAATCCAATATAGCATGTTTTGGGTAATTCAATATGAAACAAGACGTTTTTAACATACAAGGATCGTTGGTGCATAACATATTTATTTATAGTAAAAAAAGAAAAAGGAAATTAAATATAAAAGCAAGTGATACAGAAATAATAAAATAGAAAAATGTTGTAAAACATTCTATAAAATATCTGAATCAACCTAACCGTTAAGTAGATGTTCATGACTGGGATGGGTTATATTTAGTAATAATCTAAAAGTAAAAAGTAACTTAAGCTGTCAGATAAATGTAGTGATATTTGAGTTGAAGTTTAGCCTCACCGTGGCTGCTGGTGTGGCAGCCCAGCTCGATGAGGGGGGGGGGGGTAAATGTTGTCAGATTGAGGAACACATTCACCAGGAGAGTTTTCTTGACTATCATAACAAATTCCGGTGGTTGGAGCTTAAAATAAATGAATTTGAAAATGTACATGGCACTAAGGACCACCCTAGTATATATATATATTTTAACTTTTTAACGCTATTTTATTTCTATTTCAGAAATATTTTGGACTGCTTATTTCTTGTGTCTTAATTTTTCTTATCAGAATCAGAATACCTTTATTAGTCCCACAGAGGGGAAATGTACGTTGTTACAGCAGAAAAAGAGCCAAAGACAGCTTAATGTTACCTAAGAAGCATGCAAAAAAATAATAATAATATAATACAAAATTGAATAAAATAAAAAGTTACACAATTTACAAAATAGACATCCTAAAAGAGTTCTTAGGATTTAGCAGCCAGGTATATATTGCACAGTTATTAACGGCATATATATATATATATTGCACATAGTTGGTTGATTTTGATTGGTTGGTTATGTACATTGCCTTGTTTTTTATGCTGCTGCAACGCAAAACAAATCCAAATTGGGATCAATAAAGTACATATCTATCATCTATCTATCTAGGAAGAAAGACAAATAATCAGGTAAAGTACAAGTAGCTCAACATCGTACCAAGTACATCCCCCCACTGTGCGTACCTTGAGACTCTCTGGGCTGGGGACACATTTCTGCAGAGACACCGGGAGGCTCTGGATCTGAGTCTGGGTGAAGAACACGACCCTCACCCCCAGCTCAGAGGCCGCCATCACCGCAGACAGCAGCAGCAACGAGCGGCTGATGGAGCTGTCTCCTAGCAACAGCACCGAGCTGCTGACGGAGCTGTCTCCTGGCAACAGCACCGAGCTGCTGACGGAGCTGTCTGAATGAGGAACCACCGTTACATCCTTGTTAACGTCAGTTTGAGACATAAAAGTCCTAAAAACACTCGTTAATATGTCCGCCATGATGACTGAGACGTTACCGAGGAAGTATAAAGAGGAGTTATATTTTCCTTCTTCTTCGATCTCTACTTTATTTGTATTTTCTTCTTTTCGTTGGTTTTTAGAGGCGTTGCATTGCCACCTACTACTTGGTTATGAATTCACCAAAACCTGATCATATAACTTATGAAACATTATAATAAAAAAAAGATACACATTTCTTGAAGATGTGTAGCGTTTCCCGCGTCTGTTTTCATGTTGCACATTGGTGTTCACGCTGCTCATGTCCGTGTGAAAAGGCTTCGTTCACCGTAACGTTCCGCTCCATGTACACAATAGTATTTCCCTTGTGTTTAAAGTTAACATCATGCACCAAATTATAAGCCAAATTAAAAAGATAGGTCTTTAATTTACTTTTAAAAATTCCAATTGAGGTTGCTGTTCTAAGATCAAATGGGAGCCGTTTGGGGCCATAAAAACAGAAAGCAGCCTCCCCAGTCTTTAAAAAATAAATGTTTTGACAATTATTTTACAAACTATCAAGGCTCATTGTAACAGTCAAGAATGTAACTTGGTGTTGATACAGTGCAAAAATGCAAACATAAAAACAGAAAGCAGCCTTCCCTGCTTTCTCATGGTAAGGGTTTCCGGTTAAATCTGACAACATCCGGGACACCGTAGAATCACAACATCAGCTGTTGTGGCCAAGATGGCGCGTAACCCAGTGGAGTTGGAGGTTGCTCTGGACTCGGATCCGGCCGGGGATCAGGAGGATAAAGAGGTTTTGAGACGATGCAGAGGAAGACCCAGACTCACGGACTCAGACCGGGCTCAGAGGCGCCTGGAGTCCCGGAAGAAGTACGATGTTCGGCGGGTTTACCTGGGAGAGTCGCACAAGCTGTGGAGCGAAGTGAGGAGGAGAACCAGCCTGAGTGATGCTGGGCTGGCAGAGTATCTGATCCTGCTCAACAACACTTATGGAGAGAAGTACCAGCAGGAGTACTGCGGGTGAGCACAGACACTGTTTATATATGCTAATGTTATTTAACCAGACCATGCATGCCTTCATTCATAAAAAGGTTAGTAGAGGATTGTGAGCATTTGGTTAGGGGTATTGTCCAATATCTGGATCAAGCTACCAGAAACCTGCAGGTCCGCTGCAACTCTCACTACTTTTAAATCCAGGCTGAAGACTTTTCATTTTGCCGCTGCTTTTAATTGAACTATTCACATCTCACACTGCACTGTAACTTTTATGCATGTCCTGTGTTATTCATGTTTTAATGTTTCTAATGTGTTTTTATGCTCTTAATATCTTTCATTTTTGTAAAGCACTTTGAATTGCCTTGTGTTGAAAAGTGCTATATAAATAAACTTGCCTTGCCTTGCCTTCATTAATATGGTCTGCTGTAATATTAGTGACTTTTCCTTATTTTCTGTCAGCCTAATATTGTTTGCTTTTTTGTTTATTCTTCAACTTCATAATGTGTTATCCTGCTTGACCTAACCAGACCATGCAAGTCTTTTTTTTTTTTTATAGATCAAATCAAATCAAAGTAATTATTGTTTGCCATTATGGTTGTGTATCAACTTTATAAGGAAGAAGTCTAACTGTCCATTTCATTGCATTACAGGAAGAAGATTGCTCCAGAAGTCTCAATTAAACAGAAAAAAGGTAAGTTGACAGATGGGGATATTTTGAATCCGTTTCAAATTGCGTTTCATGCAAGTTATTTTCTTTTTTTATAACTTTTTATTTATTCCACAAATATATAACATACATGGAGATGTACATACAAATCAGTTTACAGTCCAGTTTACAGTCCACTCAAATCTACACGTTATTGCTCACATACCCATACACAGTGCAGATTCTAGAGTCTGTGGGGGCCCTAGGCAAACATTCACTGGGGGCCCCTCGAACCAGCTTTTCATCACCATGCACAGCCGACAGCACCCCCCCCCCGGAGCGGAGGGAGGCAACGAAACTTAAGATAAGAAGCAGCATTTTTAACAGCGCGCTATGCATGGGGCCGCCTTGAGGGGGCTTCCCGACATGTCGTTGCAGTAAATTAAAGGGTGTTTCATGTTGTCGTTGCTGTGGACCTTCTTAATCTACCTTCTTTGGGGGCCCCCTTCTAGTCCGGGGCCCAAAGCAGTTGCCTGCCTAGCCTGTCCGCAAGTGGCGGTCCTGCACATTCATACATTACCCCTTTCCTTCTAAGTCTTGGCAAATTATACATAAATACAGACATTCATTTAAATTCTCTGACCTCTCCCTGGGTAGTCGGTACAGACAGGTATGCTTACAAATCCGAAACAGGCGCTAGTTAAAAATTAAATATAAAAGAAAAGTTATTTTTTAATGCAAACAAATATGTGATATGCAAAAAATATTAATATTAATATTAACAATTATCCCTTGCTATTGTTTCCCAGGCAGGAAGGACCGGGTGTCCAGCCTCCAGAGCCTGGTCAGCTGGTACCAGGATCACTGCCGCTCCTGCCCTCACGAGCCCCAGCTCAGAGCCCTGGAGCCTCAGATCAACTTCTCCACCGCCGCTATCTGGCAGTGCGACTCCAACCACTCCTTTGTGCAATACTTGTTCTCCCCACCGAGGGAGGCCAGTGACTCTGAACCTGAGGAGGGAGTGATGGAAGAGGAAGAGGAGGAGGAGGAAGAAGAGAGGGCGGAAAAAACAGACGTGGTGGTGGCTAAAGAAGTAGTGAGCAGGAAGAGAAGAAAAGACGCTCACAAACAGTTTAAAGGTGAAGCATGTTCAGTCGATAACGATTCAAATCCAATATAGCATGTTTTGGGTAATTCAATATGGAATAAGACGTTTTTAACATGCAAGGATCGTTGGTGCATAACATATTTATATATAGTAAAAGGAAATAAAATATAAAAGCAAGTGATACAGAAATAATAAAATGGAAAAATGTTGGAAAATATTCTATAAAATATCTGAATCAACCTAACCGTTAAGTAGATTTTCATGACTGGGATGGGTTATATTTTGTAATAACTTAAGCGTAAAAAGTACAATATTTGAGTATAAATAACGGAAGTAAGAAAAATAATCAGGTAAAGTACAAGTAGCTCAGAATCGTCAATAGAGTGGTGCAGGAATGAGTCCTAAAACCAAGAAATAAGTTGGCATTTGAGAACTTTTGGTTCCCTCAAAGTCAATGGTATTTTGAACCTGAGAAATCTCATTGGCTTTTCGTTAAGGGAGCCCTTGCCGTCATCACTGTACTACTCTATTATTTAGTAAAACCTTTTCTTAATATCGTGAGTATTTCAAACTTCATCAGTACAGTACTTTAACAGACTGTTAAACACCTGCACTTTTGAAAGAACATCCATAAAATGCATCTGTTTGCAACTTATATACATCAATATTCCAATTACTTGTATATAGACTATTCTGCACTATTTCTATTATATTCTATTTTATTTACTTGCACTATTATCTGTTTTATTGTGTTGTGTTGAGGAGCCTGTGATCTAAGCATTGAGTTGTCATAACTACACTCTAGCTATGTACACATAATCAAATCAAATCAAGTTTTATTTATATAGCACATTTTTAAAACGATTTTTGGTCAAGCCAAAGTGCTGTACATATAATAATGACCTTACAGTAAGGACACTTTACAGCAAATACAACAGCACAGTTTGTGCAGAATATCAGTATGAGAAAATGACACCCTCTGTCCTTTAGACCCTCACATCGTACAAGGAAAAACTTCCGGAGAAAAAACCCACATGACAATAAAAGCCTTGAACCTTGAACCTTGAACCTTGAACCTTGGAGTAGCTGGGAAATGCTGAACATGTTTTATTATGTATCTGTTTTTCTGTAGATGTGAGAGAAAATGTTTCTGAAGGACAACAGTCACCCATGAGCCCGATAGAAGAAGCTGCATCTGTAGACCAGCAGCCCAGAGAAGAGGCCTCCTGTGGGGATGTTCCACTAACAGGACAGCCTGTGTGGGAGATGGAGATGGAGCAACATCCAGGCTCCCCTGCTGAAGAGTTTCCATCGGACGAGGAGGCGGAGGATCTGAGGCAAGACAGAGAAGAAGAAGAAGAAGAAGAAGAGATTAGGACGGTGCCTCACGGATACGACTGTGTAACAGTGACGCAGTCTTTAATGGATAAACTGGAAAAGACGAGAGAAGACTCGTTGCTGTCTCAGAGCGGTTCAGTTGGATCGGAGCTTTCTGTCCCGTCGAACATCCCAGAGCAGAGCGAGATGTTCGACCCTCACTCTCTGCAGACGGTGGTGAGCAGCTGTGAGATCCCCGACCAGAGGAACACTTTGGGAGGAGCGCAGGTTGGTGAATGAGAACTGTGAAGAGATTTTTAAAGAGCTCTATTATGCTCCCTTTCCTGTAGTTTGTTATATCGGTTATTGTGCATGTAAATAGTTTGCAAAGGCTTTAATTCCCTGTGTTCCCCTGCCTGATGCGCCTCCTTTGGACTCCTTTGCTTACTTCCTGAACATAGTCACATCACTATGTAACACTCACTCTTCTATTGGCTAGCGCTCCAACACATTGTACGTGATAGGCTAAGGGGCGGGACATCTCTAAGTGGTTGACCAATCACAACAGAGCCTGCCAGCTAACCAATCAGAGCAGACTAGGCTCTGGTTTCAGACAGAGGGTGAAAAGAGGTGCTGCAGCACAGGCAGTATGAGAGAAATAAAGAGCTTTTTGAACATTAAAGCATGGAGACATGTAGTAGAGGCACTACATACTGATATACACCTGAACATCAGCAGGAGAGGACTCTTTAAAGTAGAGACACTACATACTGATATACACCTGAACATCAGCAGGAGAGGACTCTTTAAAGTAGAGACACTACATACTGATATACACCTGAACATCAGCAGGAGAGAACTCTTTAAAGTAGAGACACTACATACTGATATACACCTGAACATCAGCAGGAGAGGACTCTTTAAAGTAGAGACACTACATACTGATATACACCTGAGCATCAGCAGGAGAGGACTCTTTAAAGTAGAGACACTACATACTGATATACACCTGAACATCAGCAGGAGAGGACTCTTTAAAGTAGAGACACTACATACTGATATACACCTGAACATCAGCAGGAGAGGACTCTTTAAAGTAGAGACACTACATACTGATACACACCTGAACATCAGCAGGAGAGGACTCTTTAAAGTAGATACACTACATACTGATATACACCTGAACATCAGCAGGAGAGGACTCTTTAAAGTAGAGACACTACATACTGATATACACCTGAACATCAGCAGGAGAGGACTCTTTAAAGTAGAGACACTACATACTGATATACACCTGAACATCAGCAGGAGAGGACTCTTTAAAGTAGAGACACTACATACTGATATACACCTGAACATCAGCAGGAGAGGACTCTTTAAAGTAGAGACACTACATACTGATATACACCTGAACATCACGTACGAGCACGTACGAACTGCGCATGTGTGAGTGGCAATAACTCCTCTTACCAGCAGGCGGCGGTAGTGTGTATTCGTCATTCAAAAGAGGCAACAACCGGAAGACAGAGAAGAAGAACAGACTGTGATATAAACAAACAACAAATAGCGTGTGCGTTCCCTTTTCACTCTCGTCCATCAAAAACATGTTTCGTGCGGTACTGGAGCTATCAGCCATTGGAGTGTTGCTTGTGGAAGACATTCTCAAGCAACCGTTTCGCTTCTCATGCACTGATTCGCTAGCTGAACAGCCAATCAGAGTGATTTATTTGTCCGACTGCCTGTGGCCGACGCACGGCCGATTCAACATGTTGAATCGGCCGTGCGTCGGCCATGAAAGGCCGAATAAGGCGTGTCACGGCCGACGGTGTGGGACACACCAAATTGTGTTTGGGCGACAGGGCACGCTTCGTCGTCAGGGCCTTAATATGAACCTGAAAATTAGCAGAATTGACACAACAAGCTAATTATCAGACATTGTATATATTAGAAACATCAATGAGTGGCAGCATTTACGGGAATATTTTAATGGGGTGTTTTTATATTTATTTTTTTCAAAGGCTATCTTTGTTTGTTCCCATCTCTAGTTAATCATCATCACCGGCCCCAGCTACGAGGCCCTGGCTTCAGAGGGCATCCAGCTGAATATGGGCGGAGGAAACGTGGAGGAGGTCACCTGCACCGTCATCGGGGGGGTCAGCTACAACCAGGTGTGCTCGTCGGACTCAAATCCCAGAGCGGAGGAGGAGGAGGAGGAAGAGGAGGAGGAGGAAGACTCCATGACAGGTGCGCTGCTTTCAGAACTAACACTGACACTTTAAAAATGTGAACGCAACGACTGAATCCAACTGCTCTTATCGGCAGATGTCGAAAGTAACTCAACTCTTATTCGAGGTACTTCTTTCCCTCTGTTTAAACACACTACCTTTGTGTGTGAATGTAGTTCAGCGATTACCAAAATGCCACCACTTGCAGGGGGGCAAATGGGAATAACATGTTTGTATTTCAAAGCACTGTTAGAGGAGCCTGTGACCTACGTTTTTCATTGACATATCTACAATGTAGCTTATGTACAAATGACAATAAAAGCCTTGAATCTAAAATATACCTTTTTTTAAATGCAAATTCCTTGTTAAGTAAACCCACTGCTCACTCTCCAACTCCTATGTCTTTTATTTAAACTACTGGCTCCCACTTCCTCCACAGTGTTGAATAGACAGGTGTTTTTTTTATACTCCATGCAAACATCCTATCATTGTAATCTAAGGTTGATAAGACTTATAACAAGTATACAGAGCGTGCATGTGTCTGTATGAATGCACAGTATTGTGAGTGAGCTGCTGGGAATAAAAACATATTTTGCATATTTTTCGGAAACATTTTGCATTTGTGTATACATCCCGTCAAGCTCTTCCTGCAGCAGCACATCCTCACTAACATCCTCTATGAATATTTCACACATACTATATGGCGTATTATAAAATGGGGTAGAAAACCATTAAAAGAGGGCTTTGATGCAGGTTATATTTTCATTATGCAAAGCTACTCCACTGTCAAAGATATTTAGGCCCCATTTACACGGGAACGCAAACGAACCGAATTCAATATCAAAAAAGTCTTCCGTTCACACGGATACGGCTCAATAAACGTGTCCCTTCACACGAGACCGCTCGACCCGCTGGAGACGCTGTAGTACATATGCCGGGCCTGTAAGTGGCGCTGTACTCCCGCCACAAAATACACCAAAAGCAGCGAAGAAGACCCCCGAGCATGGTTGCCATGGTTGCCCTTCTGTTTATGCCCCGCGGTGGATTTAGCAACGTGTAGTTCATGTAGTTCTCCATGTCCACTTGTTGCTGATGGTTGTGGTAGAGGAGCTTAGACGTTATCGTGTAAACAGCACCTAAAATGCTTTAGTTATAGCATGCTGTCATATTGTAGCTAATGTAACATGGTTACCCTGTAAAAGGTAGACACAATTATAATAAATATTGTGTCATATAAGGGAGATACCGTTGTTTTACTGACCATTTCTAAGGGAAAATGGATTGCAAGAAAATATTTTTTTTTTATTGCAAAAATGAGTTTCTAAATTATTGTATTATTGCCAGACAAAAGAAAATGTTTTATCAGAAGTGGATTTATTTATGTTTTGCCTTTCGATTAATAAGTCAAAGATACATTATGAATGTAAAGAAGAAATCTAAACAAGTGATCTCAACTGTGAGTAAAACTAATGCAATAAAAACGTTTTAGAAAGGTCTGTGAAAAAGCAGTCGAAGGGTCTTATGGAAACAAAGGAAGGAATCCACGCCAATTCTGTTTGTATAATCAGTTTATTAAATGTCTCTCTGCAGGTTTGAGTGACAAACAGCTGCTGCAGCCCGCTGAGGACTCTCTGGATCTGAGCAGTGACCGAGAGCTGCAGCGCAGTCTGAGCAGGTCAGTGATCCACATGCTTTACATGGTGAAACCAGGGCTAATTTGAATTTTAAAAGACAAGCAGAAAGGATAATCCAACTCGAAGTCAACTTTCAGTTTGTGTGTACAGACAGAGAGATCGAAATACCCACAATCCCGAATACAAAAACAAATATATATAAAAATATGTATGCAAATCTGTATATCCTATATATATATATATATATATATATATATATATACACAATCAACATTTATACATATGCACACATTAAGACGTAAATAAAAGCACAACAATCAATATATACAAAATAACAGTCACTTAAACTCCCCTGCACTTCAGTGTTTGCTGGTTTTGTGAATTAAGTCTGCAGTGTGTCTGTTTTCACAGCGTCCGGTCAAAGAGAAACAGACGAGGCCCGGTCATCGAGGCGGACGGGATGCTGAAGATGTTCCACTGTCCGTACGAAGGCTGCAGTCAAGTCTACGTAGCTATCAGCAGCTTTCAGGTAAAAATAAAAATCACGTGTAAAGGTACAGGAATTTTGGGTCAGGGTTATTCAGACTCTGGGAGAAATATTAAGCTATACGATTCCCTGTGACCCCAGGGTTATGTACCTGGGCTTGATTCAGGATAGTATAATTGGAAAGGAGGACTCTTGATACTAGCAGGTAAAAAAGGCCATCACACGGAACTGGTTAAAAAGTGACCCTCCTGGACTGGGTCAATGGCTGGACATTGTTGAAGAAATATGTACTATGGAAAGACTGACCTACTGTCTAAGGACTAAAGCAGAGATCTGTGCACAACAACGCTGGGGAAAATGGACAGTGTACAAGGAAAAAGAAAGACCGTGAACTTTTTTTTTCTTTCTACCTATAGAGTGCCACAGTGACGCGTCCTAAAACCTGGAAGTAAGTTAGCATTTTACCACTTCCGGTTCCTTCGCCAAAAAGCAATGCAATTTCTCCATAGGATTTAGGAAAATAGCTGGAAATAAGGTCTGTGGTTGAGACACGTTGAAGAGACGGTTCACGTTTTGTTCTACGACATTAAATACATCAGCAGTGACCCCACTGGTGATTTCTGAAGAGTTGACGTGTCTGAAAAACGATGGTTGTTACCAAGTGGCTGAATAGGACCAAAGAAGTTGTCGAGGCCGTTGTACGTCATTACGCCGAACACGTAAACACTCCCGCTAAGTTTGTTTACCCTGTTCTGCTTGAAAGCAAGTACCTGCCTCCTGCAAACTGTTCAAACAAACGCTTCAACTTGTACCATTTTCAATCTGTATGTTTGAATATGGATCTTAAGTTGGCGTGACGTTGAAGCAGCGACCCTGCTGTAGTTCGTTTATAGCATAACGTTAGCATTTTGCTTCTGGCGATTAGATTAGAAAATTATAAAAGTAGGGTAGACATGTGGAGATTATCCGGCTGAACAAAACGTCTCTTAAATGTCTGTCAATCACAGACCTTATTTCCAGCTATTTTCCAAAATCCTATGGAGAGGAACCGGAAGGAGTTTACTTCCGGGTTTTAGGACGCGTCACTGTGGCACTCTATGTAGTTGTGTGTGTTATATATTTGTCGAATGAAAAATAAAGAGTTTAATAAAAAAAAAATCACATTTATGCAGTACATTTCAGTGTTTGGGCTTTTTAAAATAACCATCTATTTGGTCCACTTTCCTTTTGTCTGTAGAATCACGTGAACCTAGTCCACAGGAAAGGGAGGACAAAGGTCTGTCCTCATCCAGGCTGCGGGAAAAAGTTTTACCTGTCGAATCACCTGCATCGACACATGATCATCCACTCAGGTAAATTCACAGAGAAACACTTGTCATGTAAGAATATCAACTCCATAAACCGTTAACATGTAAATTAATGTTCTTACAGGAGTCAGAGATTTCATCTGCGAGACGTGCGGGAAATCGTTTAAGCGCAAGAATCACCTGGAGGTCCACAGAAGGACTCACACAGGAGAAACACCGCTACAGTAAGTCACTAAAGCTGGACATTTGGACTGCATTTTAGGGCCATTGTTGGTTAAAATCAACAAGTAAGAACCCACGTAATATCTAAATATCCAAATGTCAAATATAATAATATAATAATATAATCAAATATCCACTTGAGACTGGCTCCAAAGTGAATCAATCCCCCTAGCCCCCCATAATGAAATGCCCAATTTCAATGCAGAAGTAAACATGTTATGGCGCGTTTCCACTACACGGCCTCGCTCGGTATGGCTGGGCCTTGTTAGGACTGGCTCACTTTATGGCGCATTTCCATTACAGTTTAGGAACTGGGGTAGTATCTATAGTAACGCAGTGTAGGCGGAGCCGTGACGTCATCTTCAATGAGAACCCCAGAAAAACAACACAGCCGTTAGCTGTTAGCACTCAGAGCTCACAGCTCCTCATATCTGTTCAGAAACTAGACAAAAGTTAAACAAGTACAAACCACAGACTGCCTGTGTCATGGTGAATACAGTCGCTGCTTTATTTATGTCTGTATAGGCCGTTGTTGTGAGTGTGGACGGTCGGAGCATATACTGCGTTAGCTTAGCCAATCTCCATTTAGAAAACACGCATTTTAAAAGGTTTTTCGCCTGCCGTCTGTCTGCAGACTTGTCAAAGCATTAATTCATGGTTTTTACTAACCGGTATCAGTATGTTGTTACTTCGGCATCATTTTGAAACGTGTATTACAATTAAATCACGGTCAAATATGTCCATCTTGTTGTAGTTGTAGCCCCCTTGCCAGCGATGCTCTCTCTAGTTTAGCATACTCAGCCCGACTCAGCCTCGTTGTCTCTGGCCCTAGACCCACGATTTTATGAGGCCAGAAAAACTGTGAATTAGGACCCGCCGGCCGGTACTAGGCCAAGTGGAAACGCAACCAAAGACGGGCCGCTGACGTCACAGCCCTCTTAAACCGTGCTCCGCGCTGTAGTGGAAACGCGCCATTAGAGTCTGGTACAGAAACTGGTTTTGCTCTCGAAAGCTAATTTCCCTAATCATGGCGGCTGTACTGGGAAATATTTTCATATAACTCACTGGTTTGAATTACATGAAGGCTTAAAGTCATGCATGGTTCAGAGCGTGGCTGCTTGTAGTTGAACAAATGCCACAAGTTGCAGGGTTGACAAACAAGAGAAATAATTATGTTATTAATTTTAAACTAAAAATCTACCTTATTTAAAAGACTTTAACAGTTTGGTTAATGCTGCTTTTCTGTGTTAAATAAACCCAATGCTCACTCTATTCCTGCATTTGACTGGAGTCACCATGGTATAAGGAAGGTTTTTATTTATTGAAACTACTGGCTGCCTCTTTCCCCACTGGGTTGAATAGACAGGTGGATATTTGTATACCATGCAAACATCGTATTGTCTTTATTAGGATCCCCATTAGCACTAGCATGAGCATTGGCTATTCTTCCTGGGGTCCTCACACACACAAAACATACATAAACACACATACAACAAAATTAAAACAAAACAAAACAGCTCATAATTTCATGCAATTTACAGTGCTGTATGAAGTGAAAACTAAAATGGTCATCCAATTATCGCCATCCTAAGGCCAAACAAAAGTAAATACAAATAAGTGTACATAATAATATATGCATACATAGCCACAGACACAGTTCAAATGTACTTTATAATACTTTAAAATAATTACTTAAAATAATTTCTTAGCAACCTTTTTGAAATGTACTTGAGAATTTTCCTGAATGATGTGGACCGGTAAAGAGTTCCAGCTGACCATGGCTCTGACTGTTTTCTGTCCCATATTTGATTTAGATTTGGCTAATACAAACCTTCCTTCTATTGTATGTCGTGTTTGATAGTTATGTTGTGCATATTGCGCTATAAACCTTTGTGATAATATATCTGGTGAGTGAGTCACTGTAATATTTCTGACAAAATGTAACAAAATATAAGTTGACCTCTGTCTGACAGTTAACCATTTCAGTGTCTCCAGCATTTCAGTGACTCTGGTTCTGTAGGAGCACTGCAGTGCACATCGTGCTGCCTTATGTTGTGCTACTTGTAGTCTGTTTAAATCTTTTTCAGCAGCACTAGACCATATAACCAAACAATAATCAAGCTGCGACGGAACCAAAGCATCCAAAACTTGTCTACTGACATCCATTGGCAAATATTTTACAATTCTTTTTACAAGTGACACACCCCTTCCCATTTTACATACAACATTATCAATTTGTTTAGACCAAGATAATTTATGATCCAGGGTTATACCTAGCAATTTTGTCTCCTTGACCTGTTCAATTTCAATATGGTTTAAATGTAGTTGCAATTTTGGTTCACCTTTTAACTGATGATTTGATCCTATTAATAACGATTTTGTTTTTCCCGCATTAAGTACCAACTTATTATTTATGACCCACTCTGATATCAGTAGTAGATCTTTATTCATAACATTTGTCAACTCTCTGAGTTGATGCTGCATAATATATTATTAAGTCATCTGCATACATTACAATTTTAGCTTTTTCTAACACTAATGGTAGGTCATTTGTAAAAATAGAAAATAAAAGTGGTCCCAAACAACTACCCTGAGGTACTCCACAAGTGACTGTTTTCATCTTTGAGAGACTTCCATTAAAAAAAAAAGTTTGACTTTGATTTGTCAGGTAACTTTCTAACCACCTCAGCGTTTCAAAATTAAAACCATATTGTTCCAGCTTGTGCAACAACAAGGAATGGTCAATGTCATCAAAAGCAGAACTAAAATCAAGTAGTGCTGCACCCACTAACTTCCTATTATCTAATTCGCCCTTCCAGTCATCTGAAAATTATTCTCTCCATTATCTTTGCTAACGCTGGTAATAAACTTATTGGGCGGCTATTTGTACCAGAAAATGGTCCAGCTGGATTTTTTGCAAGTGGAATCATTTTTGCTATTTTCCATGCCTGTGGGCAAATACATTTTTCTCAATACTCAAATTTATAATATGACAGATAGGCTCTGCAACAAAATTAGTAACATATCTAAGAAATGTACCAACTAAATTATCCACTCCTGGTGGGTTATCATTACATTTACCTAGTAGACATTCAACATCTGTAATTGTCACTTTTTCTATTTTAAATGTACACTTCTTATTTTTCATAATTAAATCATTTATTAGAAATGTGGAGTTACTATTTATAGTTTGATTCATATTTCTCCTCAAATGTTTTACTTTATCAAGAAAATAATCATTCAGATAATTAGCAATTTGTACTGGTTTTGTCAAAAAATTATGATCAGTACACGCTACTGGAATTGATATTGCCTGAGAACATTCATGGCTAAAATTAGTAAATATATGATCAATACAAGTTGCACTTTTTGACCCATCTTTCTTTATGCATATCCTAGTAGGTTTAGTCACCATTTGTACCAAGTTACAAGTATTAGTTATTGTCTGCAGCTTGTTTTTAAGGGCACAGTGCAACATATTCCAGTCAATATTTAAATCTCCGATAAAATAAATCTCTCTGTCAAGATCACAAACTTTATCTAACATTTCACATAATTTGTCTAAATAAATTAAGTTTGCATTTGGAGGTCTGTAACAACATCCTACCAACAAAGGTTTCAAGTGAGGTAAATGAATTTGCAACCAAAGTACTTCAATATCAGCAGACATCAAATCATATCTTACTTTAGCTGGTATTTGCTTTTGAATGTATACTGCCACCCCACCTCCATATGCATTCCTGTCCTTTCTAAATGTTCTATATCCATCAATGTCCACAGCAGCGTCATTAAATGTGTCATCTAAGTGAGTTTCAGATATTGCTAACAAATGAATACCACATGATAATATTTCCTCTATCAATTTAAATGTTATCTCTTTTTCACTTCCTATCAAATTGAGAGCTGAACTAAAACATGTAACACAATTTCAACCACACACACCATCATATCATTTCAATCTAAGCTGTGACTCATTATACTGTACTTTGCATGCACGTGTATGTATCATGAATTATATGTCTCATCTTCTTGCCTACAATGGCACTATTTGCCTCTGTAGAAAACAGATATCATTTTTAATCCAGTTCTGCATTGAGCAGGTTTGAATGAAAGACACGTTTTTGACACAATATTGACCTACAAATCTGGAACCAGGATCTTCCAATCAATGTTCTTCTTTCTTACCTGTTCCTTCCTTCTTGTCTTCTCACCCACGTCATATGTTAGATGTGAAATCTGTGGGTACCAGTGTCGTCAGCGAGCGTCTCTGAACTGGCACATGAAGAAGCACACTTCAGAGGCTCACTACAACTTCACCTGCGAGTTCTGCGAGAAGAGGTTCGAGAAACTGGACAGTGTTAAATTTCACAAACTAAAGAGCCACCCGGACAAACTGGCAACGTGAAGTGTTCAGAAACCTGATGATGGGACTTAAAAATGAACAGAACGGCCGTCAAAAACCAAAGGAAGACTTCCAGTAAAGAGACTTTGCTTTGCTTTGCTGTGTTTGTCTGGCCTCTCATGTTCAGGATAATATGAGTATCCACTGTAAAACACACAATAAGTGGATAAACAGCTGTGCAGGACACAAGCTAATTCAGAGTAGGCATATAGGGCCAAAACAGGGGTTCTGAACATGTTTCGTACATTAACAGCTCAATCATACTTTAAAAAAATCATTTTATAAACCATTACAAGACAAAAATCAAGAGTAAAAATGTAATAAATGGCTGATACAGGGTGTTTGAGGGCTCAGACATCAGCTTCCAACTTTAGCATTGGTCGGCTAACTAGCTTACTACCTGAAATAGTAATCCATTGTTACTTTAAATAGCAGCTGTATCTACTATTATTGTAAGTTGTTGTTAAAAAAAAAAAGAGCCTGTTCACAACTAGCACATCCACAGTGCAGTATTTCCCCACTGTGTGGGAGCCAGTCCAGGATGCTACTGTAGCTAGGCTAACGTTAGCTCCTTGACCCTGGTTCTTCTTGGAAGCTAACTTGGTATGCCTGAAAGAGTTTTGTTAACTAAATACATTGGCTACTTCTCATTCTAAAAGCCTTTTATTTCAATGGTCAAAGTAACATTTAAGAAATATTTTAATCATCATAAATCCAACCACTGTTTTGCTTGTTAGCTTAGCAGCTAACGCTTAATAATCAATGTTCAACAATAATTCAAATACTAGGACTTAAGAATAGAAAAATGCTGTTTCTTTATTTTCTATGTAATATTGCTAAATATTATACTTTAACTGGTTTCTTATTTTCATAACGAGTCAGTTTAAAACATGAAATAGTCGATTGAAGATGGTGTTTCTTTAGCTAGCTTATGTAGCTAACGTTAGCTTGATTCATAATAATAATAATAATAATAATAATAAATGATATTTATATAGCGCCTTTCAAGGGACCCAAGGTCGCTGTACATGGTGGACAAACAGACAATCAAAGGGCAAACAAAAAATAAAGGAAGCCGCGGGACCAAGAAAGGGCTAGGGCCCGAAGGCCCATAGCTAGCTAGCTATATCTGATCAAATCTTTCAGTGACAGCAATAATTTCAGCCGGTTTAATTTGCTGTTGATGGCTAGAAGTGGGAATCATCCTTTCTTTTACCTCTGAATGAAATATACAGGCCATTGTTTTGAAAAATGACAAAGAATCTTGAGTTGGGATTTGGATACCATTTTTTTATTTATTAATTAAAAATGTGAAATATTTTTTGGAAAGTGCTCTGATTTGAAGATTAATACCTCCAAGAAAGATAATTGATAACATTTCAGTTGAATGGGTTATTTTTTAAATATTCTTGAAATTAAGGCTGTGAAATTAAATTAATGATGTTTGAGAGTTGTTGTGTGTTGCACTACGCTACTCGTACTGACATGTGTAGGATCTTCCATTTTGGTCAAAAATGTTGTTTTGTGAGCGTAAGGCAAATACTTTGCCTTACATTTTCCCTCTCAATCTGTTTTCATTGTCCCATTGACAGTTCCTCAGGAAAACCCACCTCAGTCCTCTTTTGTCCTGCCTGTACTTTAGTTTCCAAAGCACTTTTTGTTAACTGATGAATCACTAAAATATGCCAGTATGACCTATTTGTGACGTATTTCTTTGGAACACATTTGTTTGACACATGGTTAATAATATGCAGCGTGTTGTCGCCTCTTGCATTACGCTTTCAAGGGTGGGTGTTTGTGTGTGACAAGTGCGGGTGTGCATAAATATTCAGAAAAGGCATGAAAATCACAAGTGACATGACTTTAGCATGGGGGACAAGTTGCATGTAACGCCAGAAGAGAACAAATATGAGTCAGGACTAAGAAAGATATATTTATTAATATAAAATGCATTTCAAATAGACATTTTAATATGTGAGGATGCATTTCTATTTATTAATTGACCTTATATAGACCCTTTCCCAAGCTATTCTTCTCAAAACTGTCTCCTTTAGAATGCAGTGACTAATCGTCAGTATTCTTCTGCTGTAAATCATCTATCCTCCATTATTTTGCAGTCGAGTTAGTAATTCCCACCTGTCACTTTCTCCATGCTCTTTTATCTCTGCTTAAAAATGATTATGATGTTCAGATAAAGGAAATGTCAGACTGCACAATGTTTTGAAATGTGAGGCCAAAGTCTGAGGAGCACTCATGTAGAAAAACCCAGAGCTGGAGACGCCACCTGACAGCCGAGGAGAGAAATGACATTTTCATTTCATTTAATCGTTTATTTGAACAGGGACAATGCACATTGATGAACACTTTAAAGGTCCCATGTCATGGCCATTTCTACTGATCATATTTCCATTGTTGAGGTCTACTGTTACGTTCCCTACTGGGCTAGGGGAACCAGAGGGAAGTAACAACATATGAAAATAACCGGGAGAGAGAAAAAAAAGGAGAGGAAACTGAGCTATAAAGCCACAAAGTGAGGTTTTAATGGATAAAGAAAAAGGGCTCACCAGCCAACTTGCAAAGCAAACTAAAATAAACAATACACGAACAAACTGGAGCACATCTCCTAACACTTCACAAAAACACAGGCCTCACACAGAGACAGAGACATGCTGCACACATGCAGCCAGAGGAGAAGGAGAGAGCGACTGCAGCCTTCCTCAGGTCCTATATGGAGGCCCTGATTGGGGATTGGGAGCACCTGGGGAGAGGCTGCACCTAGGGACAACCAGAGGGAGAGAGAGAGACACACACACACACACAAACACTACGGCACGTAACATCTACTATAATAGATTTACATTGTGCAATTTTCCAAAATTACATTGGTTTCTCATACAGCATCTCTGTAAAGTATGTGTATTCACCAGGTATTCACTCTCTGTCCTAAACGGCTTGTTGGAGCTCCTGCCCACCCCCCCCCCCCCCCCCCCCCCCCCCCTGTGAGCCCAGTGTGCTCCGATTACAGCGGTGATACAGCGAGAACAAGCTAAACTCATCCTGTGCACACACAAACACTCACAGCCGAAGTAAACACAATAAGTGTGGCTTGATATTGAGTAAGAAAAAGGTTTATAACGCTGTGAGAATGGGTCTGCAGAGAGCATTTCTCCGCGATCCCAACTCGTCTATTACCAGCGTTCAGGGAGCTCTATGCAAGTCAATTGGGGACTCCCTGTTAGTTAGCCAAGGGATCCTGGTGTGTGAGGTGCTCCGCGGATTGGTCCATTTGGGCCAATCCGGTCATTTGTTGTTGATTTGGGTGTTCACACGTCACAGAACCCAGGAAGCAAACAATGGAAAATGAGAAATCTCCAACGAGGCGTTCTGGGGCAGCATAGACAGGTCTTTTCTGTGTTAGAGTTTTACTCGCTACAGGGTGTACTTTGAGGGTTTTGACTCTGCAGACCGTTTACATGCAGAAAAACCTTCATAACACACAAGGGGACGGGTAATAAGTTATAACCAGAAAAGCTTGACATGGGCCCTTTAAATTATTAAAATGTAGTTAATTGCTCACTGTTAATCCGAAAGCTAATTGTTTACTTTGATTAGTTCAACTTTACCTCTCTCTATCCCCTCCCTCTCTCGTGAGACCAGCCTTTAACTCCATGGTGATGTGTGTGTGTTATTACACAGCTGCTTTAGTCACACCCACCTGCTCCCCCCCCCCCTCCCTTTTTAGTACTTATAACCAGCAGACAGCCTTCCAAAAAAAGCAGAAAAGTCACTCAGAGAGGCTGTTTCTTATCTAGCGGAGTCACAGGAAGTAGGGGACACAGAGAGTACACTGTGGGTCATTTTCCTTTTTTTCAGAGGACAGTCGAATAATACACTCCTCAGTTTACTCCCATCAACAGCCTCCATCACCAGAGTGAACGTCCTACGAGTTCTCCTGTGAAAGGTAAGAGAAACTTAACTCAATTTAAAATGATCTGGTCAATTCTCTGTGTTGTTTTTGCAATTGCCGTACCAAACGTTGATAGAAATCCATCCAACAAAGATCCTTTGTCTCCTGAGACCTGCCTGCAATTATTCTGCTCAATGGCGTCCTTTGAGATTTGCCTGTCTGTTTTTTTGTTTTGTTTTATATAGTGAGTCAGAGACGAGAGGTTTTGTTGATCTAAGACTGGCAAATACATCTCAAACACCCATTTCATATGTCACCTGCAAACAAGAGCCTCCACTCCTGTGTTACCAGGTGTTGCAAGCTCACACTACATCCTTTTTTTTCCAGAGATTTGCATGTGACTCGAGCTTGTTAATGCATCACCAGTGTCAGAGTGCAATGGCTGACCACGAGGAAGTGAAGCTCAAAAGGTGATAGAGGGAGTTTTAGGGAGTCAAGGCAACCATTCGTTACATTTTGATGGCATCCTGACCTTTGAATGTATGATTAACTTGACGACAACCAGCTTACTGTAACTTAAAAACCTGACAAGCCACTTCCTTTTGCATCACCTGGTTGTTTATTTACGAAAAGGGTTCAGAATAACTGTAAAGAGTGAAGTACAATATGTACATATCATGTTACAAGTGAAAAGAGACCTTTAGGGATATCCCAATTCCTAGAAAAGCAGCCTGTAGCTTTCAACAATAGGGTTCTGCTCTGTCATTGTCATCGAGGATAACAATTTCTCTGTTTTGTCCCCCCAAACAAAGGGCACTGTTTCGCACCAACACACACACACCGATTTTTGAAATGTCTCTAGAACAGTAGGGGTTGTAAAAGGGTGTTGTAGAAGAAGATTTGGAGATAGGGTGTGTGTGTTTATGGGTCAGATATATGTTGTATCTCTTGCAAACACAATTGTAAAACACAGCAAAGAGAATTTGATTTGTGTGTGTCAACAGATAAAGTGCTTTATGGTGTTTTGTACCGCAAATGGTCATTGGTTATAGCGCCATAAAGTGTGATGGGTGCGATGGATCGGATGGCTGGCCACTAAGTTTTCTATGCAAATACACACCCTGGAGTCTTTGTTTATTTAAAAAGAAATAGCATTTGTGTGCATTTTACATCCTATAGGCAGAGGTGGAATTAACTTAGTACATTTACTCAAATACTGTACTTTAGTATAATTTTGAAGTACTTCTACTCCACTACATTCAGAAGGGAAATAATGCAATTTTACTCCACTTCATTTATTTTACAGCTGTAGCTACTTTTAATGCAATGCATCTCTAAAAATTCAACTAGTATTCGTTTGTATTCTGAGTCACAAACGAGTCAAATTACTTAAATATTTTACAAAACGTCAATCAGAACGGTGTTTGTCTACAACAGTAAAATGCTACTTGATGCAACATTATGGTCTAGAAAATGTCACATATATAAATACCTTTTATATATACACACATAAAGCCAGTTTTTCTGCACAATAATTACTTTTTATACTTTAATTATATTTTGCTGATATAAAGTAGAATTTTTGACTTTTACTTGAAGTGGAGTATTTTAAGACCATAGTATTTATAGTTTTCTTAAAGGTAGGGTAGGTAAGAATGGAGAAACCAGCTTGAGTGCGCTAGAATTTGAAAGTATGCAGCCGAAAAAAATCTGCCCCTTCCTTCAGACTTCCTTACAGAGCCCCTCCTCCAACACACACGAACGTGCACATGATCAATGAGGGCACGAGATACGTTTGTGCACGAGATGGAAGGCTGACAGGCAGGTAGGCCATCCAGTTATCTGACCCGGGCCGGCTCAGATGATTGGTCGTGCTTTTTACAGCGCCACGGCTTCCACAGATGATATTTTTTTAAGTATTTATTTTCAAAGAATTTAATTTCCTCTATCCTGAGTTCTGGATTTGAGTCCTGGACTTCGAGTCGTGGCTGAACCTGTCTCTGTGGTCCTGCCTGACTCTCATCATACTACTTCCCTGATGGCTCCCACAGGATTGTTGACATCCTCGTGGATTCATCTTCTTATTATAGACACATGCATTTCCAAACATTTGGTCTACCTACGCTGTCAAATGTATTATCTCTTCGATTTGCACACGGCATCTATTGCACGTCTGTCCGTCCTGGGAGAGGGATCCCTCCTCTGTTGCTCTCCCTGAGGTTTCTCCCATGTTCCCCTTTAAACTGTGAGGTTTCTCTGGAAGTGTTTCCTTGTACGATGTGAGGGTCTAAGGACAGAGGGTGTCGTATTGTCATACTGATATTCTGTACAAACTGTGAAGTCCACTGAGACAAATGTAACATTTGTGATATTGGGCTATATAAATAAACATTAATTGATTGATTGATTGATTGTATTCATTGCTATCAGGATGTTAAGAGCATTCCATGTAATATAACAAAAAGTGTATCTCGAGCCGGTTTCTCAAACTTACCTACCCCACCTTTAAGTAAAGGATCTGAGCACTTCCTCCATCACCGTCTATATTTATATGATTTTGTAGTTTTATACCAAAATTGTATAAATTTGGACAATAAAGTAGGAAAAGCTATTCATTTCCATACAGTATGTTCTGTAGTTTGATCCTTTCCTAATTTGCATATCACTGGCTTAATGAAAGGTATTTTTGTATGTACTTCCTCAATCATAACTTCTCTACACCCATTAACTCTAAACTAAACAAAGCCCTTACCCAGGTTCCCTGTGAGGTCATATATGTACTTTAAATGTCCTTAAGAGTGGACGTGAAAGGCGTTTGAGTGTTTGACAAAGATAAGTTATTTAGCTTACAAAGGGCAAAAAGGTGACACGTTGGGAAAGTGGCAGGTGTTTTCCCACTCCCCTGCTCTCTCCAGGAAACCACACAATACATCTGTTAATTTGTCACCTAATTGGCGGTGCATAAAGATGTTTTGACACTCGGGACATCATGTCCGAAACTCATGGAGATGACTAACAGCAGCAAACAAATGAGGTGATGTGATGTGTGTTCAAAGTCTGGTTAAAATGGTATTATAATGACTGAATAATAAAAAACTTTAAATTGTTACATACAAATCTTCCAGGAGACTTGCTGTTTGACTGTTTTGAGTAAAAATGCATTGATTTTCTTATTTCTTCTCCTTTTATAGGTAGAAAAATCAGCCGCTAAAATGGGGTGCTTTGGATTCCTCAAAGCCATGATGGTGGTTTTCAATGGCATTATCTTCGTAAGTTCTTATAATACTTCAAAAATATGATTTCCTTATCCAAAGTAAACACAGGCGCCATTTCATTTCACTTACAGGTTGTTGGTTGCAGTGCAAAAGATGTAGGAAAATATGCAAATAGAGAGAGAACATTTGATCTTGTGATACAAAAATGAATCAATGGGGCATTTCACCACCTGATTTGGTTTGTAGTATGAACATGATTTGAAACGTCCTCTGTTTGATGCACCTGTCCAAATGTTATTCACTTTTTTTACTGCAAAATACGTCGGTAGAAGAACATTTTAAACAATTCAGTATACAGTAGAGTGGTGCAGGAATGAATCCCAAAACAGGAAATTAGTTATTTACCTTATCTCGAGGGTTGATGTGTTTTTGAAAGTATCTTTTGGTTAGATGCCTGAAATAAGGTCTGTGGTTAACATATAAAATATGTCAGTAAATACCCCACTGGTGAATATCTGAAGCTTTTATGTGTCATAAAAATTGAGGTTGCTAACAAGTGGCTAATTACTGAACGTCAACACGCCAAACATTAGCCACCTTTAGCTTAGCGGTTGTCATGTGTGAGCGTAATGTACCTTCTTTACAGCCTAATGCAGGGGTCTGCAACCTTTTTGACCAAAAGAGCCATTTTTCCCCCTTTTCCACCAATGATTTTTGTCTGGAGCCGCAAAACATATTTGATAGCTTATAAAGTTGTATATACTGTTAGATCATAGACAAAAACTACAGTTTTTTTGCATTTATTATTTATTACATTGTAGAAAACTGTTTACCTCAATTGACCATTTACCTTAATAATAAACAAAGAACTCTTATAAGGAGAATTAAAAAAATACACAGGCCTACTTTAAAATAAATCAACACAGCACTTGGGGAGTCCTCTGCACATTTGAAGAAAATGAATATAATTAAAATGGGCCCACTTTGAAATAAATAAAACCTATAGCTGCACCCTAAAAAGAGTTAGGTGATTGAATTATGACTGAAGATCGTCAGCTGTCTTCCTCTTCCGTGTTTTTCCTCCAATACGTAAAGCTGCAGCACCTTTGACAACTTCTCTCCACATATCAAACATACCGGTAAGCCAGCATCGTTTGCTGTGAAAGCATAAAACTCTGTCCACGCAGAATTAAACCCTCTGTGTTCCTCCATAGTTCGCTCATCGAGCCGGGGGTCAGGTTATTCGCCTGCAAGACAAAGCGCTGGCGCGGGACCGTAGCAGCATATGACGCATATTTGAGTTGTTTTTTATTTATGTGTCACAGTATCATCTCAAAATACAAGATACAAAACATTTTCAACCGTGCAACAAAATATTGTATTGTATTTCCTTCTTATTTTTGTCTAAGCTCAAGGGAGCCAGAGTAGAGGGTTTAAAGAGCCGCATGCGGCTCGAGAGCCGCGGGTTGCCGACCCCTGGCCTAATGTTAGCTTTTTACTTGTGGAGATTGCACTTTTGCTTTAAAATCATAAAGTGGTGATGTGGAGATTATCCTGCTGAACCAAACATGTAAGGATCATAAACATGTGTTTGCCACAGATCTTATGTTCTGCAATATTCCAAAATGGAAAAATCCCATTGCTTCTTGTCAAGGGATCCGTTGCAATGCTTACATCTGAGTCTTCCTACAAAAATACATCTTCCTTCACTGCTCTTTTCACTTGCATTACATTCTTGGACTCATAAAAAGGAAAATTGTAGCAGAGACTTGGCTTTTAGTCGCTAATATGGGTCAAACTCCAAAAAGCTGAATCCCAGAATGCAACTCATCTTTCATGAGATGTTCTTGGTTAATGTCCACATCTGAGCAGTTCTTCAAATCTCTCTTTTACAGAACATGTGAAATTTAAATTAATCCTCATTTAATCCCCATTTCTCTCTTTCTGTCTCTTCCTATCCCTTATAAACTCCCTTAGTTGGCGGGTGCTGCCATCCTGGGCGTTGGGATCTGGGTGAAGGTGGACAGCGGCTCCATCCTCAGCTTTCTGGGGAAAATAGAAAATGCACCTGCCGAGCTCAGTCAGTTGCTGAATGTGGGCTACCTGCTGATAGCAATAGGAGCTCTGCTGCTCGTCATCGGCTTCCTGGGCTGCTGTGGAGCCGTCAAAGAGAGCAAGTGCATGCTGCTGCTGGTAGGTTGATATGCTGTTTAAAGATGTTTAGAGAAATATATTGACATTTTGGGAATAAACACTTTTTTGCTGAGCTTGATGAGCTGATTGAAACCTCTTTCATATGATATTATAAATAGAGCTAGTGCTAGCATTCAGTGAGCTATAAAGACACTTCAGTATTTGTTCAGATTAAACTAATTATGTAGGTTTTGTGTTAGTTAAGGAAATTCAAAGGTGCTGGTAGGCTGAATGTTTTCCTTTTCAGACAGAACAAGGCTAGCTGTTTTCCTCTTTTTCAAGTCTCTGTGCTATGCTAAGCTAACTAACTGCCGTTAGCATGTTCTCACTTCTGATAAGAAAGCGAATAAACATACTTTAAAATTCCTTGTAATAAGCATAATTCCTTTGTTACCATCGAAATGTGGGAGAAAGGAGAAAACACACTTAAAGTATAGATTAATGATGAATTCATACAATATTTCTCCACTTATCCCAACAAAATATGTAATATTCTGTTATTTTTCCTAGTTTTTCATCATAGTCTTGGTGGTCTTCATAGCGGAGGTTGCGGGAGCGGTGGTGATCTTGGTATTCAGACCCTTGGTAAGTTAACGGTGGAACCTTTTCACTCATCAAACAACAAGATTGTCATAAAAAGTTCTTTCTGGTCCTTGGATGCACTATCTGTATGTCCAACAAGTAATTTCGTGTTATAGTCACGAAATTAATTTAATCTATTGATTCGTGTTCACCAATACGATTTTCGCATTTTTTTCGTGTCACACAGAACGATTTTAAAAGCAATGTATTTCTATTGGTAGTATGTTTCGTGCCTGCACCACGTCTTTTTGTCCGGTCGGGTTGGAAGACCAGAAGCTGTGTGGTTCATAAAAACATTTTCTTACTCAATATCTTACCCTAAGCCTAACCCTATCCCTTTTATTTTAAATTGTATAATGTCTGAGTTTTCTTGCCGTCCGTGAGGAAAAGAAATGGCTCAGAGCCTCAGAATACTGAAATCTGTATTTGTTGTCATCTTTTTTTCCTTCTAATTTGTTATTATTTGGTGCAGGCACGAAACATACTACCAATAGAAATACATTGCTTCTAAAATCGTTCTGTGTCAGAATACTGAAATCTGTTTTTCCTTCTAATTTGTTATTATTTACATTGCTTTTAAAATCGTTCTGTGTGACACGAAAAAAATGGCGAAATCGTGTTGGTGAACACGAATCAATAGATTAATTTTGTGACTATAACACGAAATGCCGTGAGACTGTGTTGCAATGTCTGTAAGTGAAAGTCCTGAGTTCAATATTGTACTTAAGTAAATGTACAAAAGGATTAGCATCAAAATGTACTTCAAGTACAAAAAGTCGGAGTACGTATTCCGCAAAATAAACCATTTCTGAATAATACAAAGTACTAGCATAAATATTATGAGCTTAAAGCATCAAATGTAAAAGTACTCTCTCTCTTTTCAGAGTCATATATTATAAGAGAATATTGTTTACATTTGTTTTTAATAACTAATAAATTCAGAACATGTCATATCATTTTAATGTTGTAGTTTGTCAATGTGAAGACACTTGATAAGCATTAAATTACCGTATCATGTGTTTTTATATGAAAAGTAACTAGTAACTGTGTATATTACCTGTAGTGGAGTAAAAAGTACTTAATTTGCCTCTGAAATTTAGTGGAGAAGAAGTATGAAGCACCAAAAGTACAGGTCTGTTAACAATAATACTTAAGTACAGTACTTGAGTAAATGTACTTGGTTACTTTACCCCACTCAATTTTAGGCAGACGAGTTGTTCACCAAGTTTGGCGAAGCTGCGGTTAAGAACATCCGTAAAGACTACGGGGGAAATCCTGACGTCACAGGACTGTGGAACTCTACCATGAACACGGTATGAGTAATTCTGCTGAACGAAATGTCTTTTCACACCATTTCTCTGATGCTTTATGTAACGTATACTCTCTTTGTGCTCACATCAGTTGCAATGCTGTGGATTCTACAACTCCTCAGACTTCGTTGGCTCTCCGTATTATGAAAAATATGACCAGCAATTCCCACCACAGTGTTGTCCAGGCCTTGTTGGTCCGTGTAACCAATCGGTAGCAGACAATGACACGGTATGTGCTCTAGGGCAGTGCTTCTCAAACTTTTTTCAGTATTGTACCCCCTTTGAATTTTTTTTTCAGCCAAGTACCCCCTGACCGACCCCGAACATTTTTGATAGAAAAAGCCTATTTAAATAATTACAATATAGTGATGTTCCATCAGTGTGTGATTGATGAACTCCATCATGCATGAATTACAACAAATTAAGGATATGTTCATCTTTATGCATGACATTTTTTAAAACAGATTTTTCCAAGGAGTTTTTCAATTGAAGTAATATATGTTTAACAAACCAATGAACAAAATGATATATTATGCAAAAACTGTAAAATACAATACACACATTTGACATGTTTATATGAGGACCCCCTTGATGGTTCTGGGAATATTTTATATAAAGTTGTGTTTTCTATTTAACTTGTTGTACTAAGATTACTATTTTTGTAATCATGCATGGTATTTTTTTAATTAACCTTTTTTCTTTTTATCTCACGTACCCCCTGCAGTACCCCAACGTACCCCTAGGGGTCCGCGTACCCCCACTTGAGAATCACTGCTTTAGAAGAACAAAGAGAACATCTATGTCAGGGGTGTCCAAACTATACGGCCCGTGGCCCATTTTGAAACGGCCCTCAGCTAATTCCAAAAGTATAATGAAATATGGGCCATATCTTGTCATATATTGTACTTCTAAATTGTATACGTAAAAATATATTAGGCAAGGCAAGGCAAGTTTATGTATATAGCACCTTTCAACACAAGGCAATTCAAAGTGCTTTACAAAAATGAAAGACAGTAAGAAAATGGCATTTAAAAACTGTTTTATTTTTTCAAGATAATAAAATAAACATAGACAGTTATTAGACAGTATTCATGTGTTAATAAGCCCACCCCTTCGTATATTTTTCTGTATGTGGCCCTCAGTGAAAAAAGTTTGGACACCCCTGGTTTATAAGAACAACGAAAACATCTATGTGCATGATCCAAAACCGTTTTGTAATTTATTACGTTTTATCCCACCCTTTTTTTTACCTACACTATTCATTTTCCTCAGACGATCACGGGCTGCTTTCCAAAGATCAAGCAGCTGATTGACGAAAACACATCGGTTATTGTCGGAGTCGCCCTGGGAATCGCAGCTCTGGAGGTATGACCGTTTTTGCTTTAAGTTAGACTGAGATGCACCAGAGAGAGCAATAAATTAGTCATATTGTTCTTAATTATACTTACTTACATGTCTAGTATCTATGATGGCGTATGAGGGCCATTGTAGGTAAAGAATAAAACTTCACAAGAGGAAAACCTTGGCTTTTCTTTGAGATGAAAGCGGCTCATTTACATAAGAAAACAACTTAAATATTGTCTGTGATTATATCATAAAGTCATACTTTTGCAAGAAATGTTTCAGAAATTCTTTGTCAAATTTTACAATGAAACAAAAATAGGGAACATTTTGTTAATAAATCAAATTGTGAACAGGGAAAGCCACACGTTTGCGAAGGGATGCGACAGAATGGAAATGTGCAGATGTGCATTTTTCCATTGTGTTGTAATTCCTGATGAAACTTAAAATATCACCTAAACCAAATTAGTATTATGTTTTCTTTTGAAAAAATAAGAATTCCAGCCGAGATTCTTATGGCAATTCTGAGAGTGTATTTCTACATTGATTGCAAAGTTTAATTTGATTACATTATCCACTGCAGGCATTATATACATCAAGGTGATGTACTTTGCAAAGTGAGACAATGCAGTTACTTGAAAAACAAACCAAACAAATAATTCTTGTTCAGAGTTTAAAAAAAAAACAGTTCTAGAAAATGTAGCCCCTCTCCTGCTCCAATATTATTAATATTTTAAACTTACAATGACCTCAATACGCCGTCTAATGATCAGATATTACAAACACATTTCTTATAGCTTGAAAAACAAGCTTTCAAATATAATTTATTCTACATTTCCTTTCTTGTATGTGCGTGTTTAACTAATATATGTATTCTCTGCAGATATGTGCCATGGCTGTTGCTATGATCCTTTACTGCAGAATAAAATCCAGGGGGGACTAACTGCAAATGCGAGGATCCGTCTAATCACTGGAGCATTTCTTCTTCCTTTATCCCCTCTCGAGGGATGAAGGGCTATGCTTTTATTTTGCTAAAAATGCCTCGTTATTAAAGATATCAGATATTGTGCAATCAGAACGACTGAATGACATAACAAATCTATTTTTACTACATTTAAATCTATCTAATAGATGCCGCACCTGAATGATCTATTTCCTAAGAACACTCAACTTTGTAAAAAAAAAAAAGCTTCACATGCTGCCTACTTTATCAATTTTTTTTTAAATATCATCAGTCACTACTGTATCTGTAACACATGGCCAGGTGATGAGGAATCACATAATACTGTGATAATGAAACAAAGGCTGGCATGTAGGACACAGGAGACACTTGTAATGTTGTTGCCATGATGCAGCTTGTAACATAGCAACAGGAGTTATGCATTATTTCTATGTATGTTGTGTGGTGATCAATTTTAAAATAAAGTATATGGTATTTCTACGTCATGGTGAGTTTTGAGGTAGTTCTGTGCTTGTGTAATTTCATGTTCTGTCCACAACGTGTCAGACTCTGTCTATAATGGACTGCATTGTGCAAACAGTATACTGCTGCAAGGAAGCAGATGTCTGTAGGGTTCAGTTATTTTCTTTTTGCACTTGCGTTTTAAAGTGCAAACCTGCAATATATTCCACTACACAACTAGCTTTACACAGTATTTCCTATTTCTGGAGCACAGTTTCTGCAGTTTCAGCAGTAGACAGCACCATTTTCTACTGAATAAGCTTTTATAAAGGGTTTGTAACTAATGGTTAATGCGTCATTAATAAATAAATGATTGATCCATTATTAAATATCTAAAATCTGCAGACATAAGTGGGACAAATCAATTGCATGTTAACTATCTAATCAGTTTTCAAAGCTCAGGGTTTAAATGTAAACGTTATTTAATGTATATATGAATTAAATCTTGTAGCGTTGGATCAATGTGCTGCTGCTGGTCTCTCTATATTGATGTGAAGTTTCTGCTTTATGCTGATGATGATGATGCTGATGTTCTCTACTGTCTCAAACTTAAAAAATACAACAACAGCTGCACGTAGTACAAAAGTACTGTAAGAACTGGCAGTAAATATGAAGAAAATTGAGGTCATGAAGGTTCAAGGTTCAAGGTTCTTTATTGTCAAACTGACATAGCTACAGAGTAATTATGTCGTTGAAAATCTTATGTCACAGGCTTCTCCACCAATGCAACATAATAATAATACAGATAGTAAAAGTAATACAAAAAGAAAAATAGTTCTAAAATAAAGTGAGTATGTGGAATAGTGCAGTACGAGTCTATATACAAGTTATTGGAATGATATATATTAGATAGTAGATATATATTACTAAGTAGCAGATGAATGTTTTGAAATTGTTTCAGCAGTTCAATTGTTTAACAGTCTCACTGCCCGCGGGAAGAAACTGTCTCAGAATCTTTTTGTTTTTGCCAGGATGCTGCGGTAACGTCTGCCAGACGGCAACAGAAAGAACAGTTTGTGGCTGGGGTGAACATTCATATTTAGGGTTTTCTCCTGGAGCTCAAGTTCGCCCGCAACTCATTTTCATAACACAATTAGGATTACAATTAAGATTGAAAAAGACTTGATTCAAAAATAAAAATGTTAATTACATTTGTTATGTGTGTGCCTCAATGTGTAAACATATACAGTATATATTCATTACTGTATGACATGTTGGTTACTAAAGTACTGGTATCTATGCATTTGATGTTTTAATCAACACTGAATTTCATAAATAAAATAACCCATGGTATGAAATAGAAGATGTATATGTATAGTTCTTGGTGTTTTTATATTTGTCTCATTGTACAAGTTAAATCCCATTATTGTGTTATTGATGTTTTTATCAAATGTGTTCATTTCATACAAGCTGGTCAAATATTATTGGACTCTACTCCTCAAAACATTGAGCTTAAAAGATGAACATTTAATTGTATCAACAGAAACATACACTGTGTCAAAATAGAGAAAAATAACAAATAACTTGAGAAGCGCCATATGTGATGTGATCTTAATTGAAAAACACAATCATTTAAAGGTTCCCTTTTATGCAAAATGCACCTTTAATGTCTTTAATACATACATATGTCTCCCCATGTGTGTTAAGAGCCTCAGAACGTTTCAGCAAAAAAGGCTTTCTCTCTTTCCCTCCCAATCCAAGTATTTGAAAGCCTTTCAAAAATGTGGTTTGGGTTCACAGTTGACCTCACTTAAAGGTATAGGTAAGTTTGAGAAACCGGCTCGAGATACACTTTTTGTTATATTCCATGGAATGCTCTTAACATCCCGATAGCAATGAATATCTTAAGTGCTTTGACAATAAATACATTAAAAAAACGTCATCTGTGGAAGCCGTGGCGCTGTCAAAAGCACGACCAATCATCTGAGCCGGCCCGGCTAAAATAACTGGATGGCCTACCTGCCTGTCAGCCTTCCATCTGTGCACAAACTTATCTCGGTCATGTGCGCGTTCGTGTGTGTTGGAGGAGGGGCTCTGTAAGGAAGTGGTAGATTTGTTCCGGCTGTGTATTTTCAAATTCTAGCGCACTCGAGCTGGTTTCTCCAAAATTACCTACCCCACCTTTAAGTAACATAGGCAATTATTATCCGCAAAACTTAGGCTACCAAAGTTAAAATCCTGCGATGCAAGAGCATACAGATGTATAGGATGTAAATACTATGGAAGTGCTTTGGTTTTATACATAGGTCACATATAGGTCACTAGGCCCTAGATGTATATGCTTTTATAATACATTGAATCATTGCGTGTATGTTTGTTGGTTCAATGGGCAAATTAAGGCTCTGAGTGTCTGTTTTCGTTTATTTGTATTTACTATAGAAATATTATAGGAGCTGAGGTCCATTTCCAACATTTTGGAGACCTTATTGTTGCTTCATTATTGCTGCATGAGTTATTTGGGGGACATGCATAGCTTGGACCTCATCCTGATCGACACCCAATGCTAAGACTTGGACAAAGATTTGACTGTCAGCAGGTTATTGTTGTCTTTACTTGGCAAATACAAGAAGTCCTTCACGGTGAGATAATCCAAAAACAACACAGAGCGTTTGCATCATCAGTGTGCTTTACTTGTCCAAAAACAACACCTAGCGTTTGCATCATCACTGAGAGTGCTTTACTTGTCCAAAAACAACAGGGACTAGATTAACAATCTTTATATAGAAACCAAGTTACAACATACAAGTACCTTCTACAACTATTAATAGAGCACTAAGATTGGACCAATGAACGGCCCCATAAACAAACTCTGAATGAACTTGAAATGTTTTTTTTACCGTAAAATAGGCTACGCTTCCTTGTTCCTAGAAGAAATGTAAAACAGGTTTGAGGCAACATTCAAAATAAAGGTGCGCCCAATATTAAAGTGTTTACAGATGTTACAGTTCAATCTTAGGGAAGCATTAGGAATAACAAAAGACTTTACTGACAACCATTCATGTTAAATGTCTCTGCGTTGTCAGTCTTTGGGCTACTACCGGTAAAAGCAGCTTATATATATACATATACCTATATGTATGTAAACAACAACAATGCAGTTATATAAATCTCCTGTATAAATGATCTCTGACCCCAAGTCAGTAGGTGATCACAGCCCAGTCCTTATCAACAGGGAGGGAGTTGAGCAGGTTACAAGTTTTAAATATTTTGGGATTTATTTTGATGCTCAGTTAGGCTGGGCCCATCAGGTGGATCAGGTATGCTCAAAGATAAGCCAGCGCCTGCATTTTCTGCGTAGGCTCAGGGTTCATGGAGTGGATAAATGTATCATGTTAATGTTCTACAGGGCAGCAATTGAGTCTATTATTCATTATGGCATCACAACATGGTTTGGTAACTTGTCAGTTAAATCTAAATCACAACTCCAGAGCTTGATAAAAAGGTCTGGAAAAATAATTGGCATGCTTCCACCATCCTCTCTTCAGGAGATATTTGAGGAGATGGTGAGAAAGCAAGGCCGTACAATCACATGCGACCCCAAACACATCCTGTATAGAGAGTTTGAGTTGCTGCCCTCGGAGGGCAGAAGGTATAGATTACCAAACTGTAAATTTAACAGGTATAAGTTTTCCTTTATTCCACTGTCAATCAAGCTGCTGAACAGTCAGAAACAATTGTGATTATGCTGTGTAGTTGTTGGGAGGTGCAATGTTTACAGTGTAGTATGTGCAATCGAGAAGGTTAAATAGGGAAAGTGCAATATGTGTAAATAGGTATGGATACAATAGGGATATGTGCAATTTGACGGACACTAAGCATAGGTACATGTTTATTATATAAATGAACAAAAGTTAAAGAAATTATTAACATTTTATTTTATAATTCAATTTCAATAATAACTGGATTTATTAAAAAAACATTTTATTTTATTTTTTGCAAAATGCTATATTTCCAAGTTCTGTTTTTCTTTTCATTATGGTATGTCAACTTCTATTTGATATTGCCACATTTAATTTAATGTAATAACTTTTTAAGACTGTGTTTTAAACAGACGTGTCACCTTTTCAACTTTTCCCAAAACAAGCTCAACAAATCCTATAAGATTTAGCCTGTTAGCTTCTGTTAGCTAGAGAAACAACAGATGCTAACATTGTTCTGAATCAACTAGCTGAAAAGCTGCTTCTATAAATAAAACCAGACACAAAGCGAAGTAACTAAACTTAAACTAAGTAACTAAAGTATTTAGAAACTAAACAACGTATCTACCAAGCCATATAGCTAATAAAAGCTACTAATGCTACATGCCTAGCTGTGAGCTTATCACTTAGCAACAAAGAGAATAGTCTGTTAGCATCGTATGCTATCTACTGTTAGCTTAAGCAACAACAGATATTAGTTTCTATGTTTTTGTACTGTGTTTATGCAGTAGCATAGGCAGGTAGATATTTGATTCAGGATTACTTTGACATTACAGATGCTATACTGTACTGTAGCTAACATTAGTTTACTGATAGTTGTGACAGCAGTTGTTGAGCTTGCTAGTTGATGTAGGGAAAGTGATTACCAGTGGCACAACTGTCACAAATAGGGAAATTATGAACATATAAAATACAAAATAATTAATGTGTCATGAAATACTGTTATTGGTAAAAGGCCAAATTACCAAAAAAACGGACTTTTGAGAACTAACATAATTAGGCCTACTCCTACCATACTTCTGTTTTTATATAAATAAGAAGGATGAAATAACAGTTTATGATAATGAGTTAAGTGTAATTAAGTCTTACATTATTTCACTTCAATGTATTTTCCTTATGTATTGTTGTGATTATAGGTTTCATAACTCTATATGTAGGCTATTTGATTCGACATTGGAGCTTTATGAAAATAATCCCAAGAGTGAGCCTATATATCAATTTGATTTAAACTGAGGAAGTTAAAAATAAGGTGTTTCAGAACCATGACAACAAAAAGTATATTGATG